TGTAACTACTTAATGCTTACTAATGTAACTGCTTTTTACCCTGTAGTTGAGCATTTGTTGTGATATACGGCTCACCAGAGGCGTCCGGCAAGTAGAAAATTATGTGTCTTTAATTCTACTACTAACCACGTTATATATGACTCCATACGTCCGTGTTTTTGATCATCACTTCGTCAACTATTTTCGTTGTAACTGTAATAACCAGTTATCAAAAACTTTTCAGAGTATTTGTTTTTTGCTATTCTTCTTACATCCAGCAAGCAAATCGGAAATATATTGGTTTATTCTAATACGATTTATGACGTCTAATCTTAAAGGTAAGAATGAGATGTTCATCTCACTTAGCACTTCGTGTAAGTGAGGCCTGTTACAAAAGCATATTCTGAAGTTGATAATAACTGACATGGTGCTAATATCAAGTAATAAGGCATAATGTTAAAGATCATGCTTAAAAAGTGAATGATAAGTCTACATGATTTCAACAACTGTAGTGATGTTACTCATATATCTAGTATGATTAGACTGATCCAAGTAAATGGCTGAGGTAAATACTTATTAAAAGCTTAGTAACTAACGCTGTGGTAACAAATAACTATTTTGTCAGTCTATATAGTAAAGTCACATTGAGAGCAGTATTTACTGGAGGCCCATGGCTGAGACTTCAAATCTTCAACCAATTTGTGGGGCGCACGATCTAATAGATTCGTCAGCTTCACTACCAACGCCAGCAGGTCTCCGTCTCGTCACAGCTAAGTGTCATCGAACTGCTACATCACCAGCTGGCTGTCCGCTGGGCTATCGAACTCTGCCACCAATTGTCCGGTAAACACTTTCCAGGTCTCCATCTCAAATGACCACCCCACACTGTCATACGCTGCATTCGCTCGACCTCTTAGCAGCGTCCCCAGCCCGGCTGCCTTTGCCGTCAGATCATTGACGCCCACCAATTCAGCAATGGCTTCAAAGTCCTGGAAGAAGATCCGTATGTCTCCTCGGTCGAAAGCGGCCGGCCAAGGAGTCTTCATTATTTGGCGACAGTGATACCCATTGTAAGGGTAGAAGATGAAAGATTTAGTAAAAGAATGTTTAATTGCACTTTGGTATCTCTGTCCAATATCCAGCAGCATTTTTACGTGCTAGCGTAAACCAGTTAGATTTTTTGTGCTCTCTTCTTGATTGTGAGGTAAAGGTTCCCAGTCTTCAGTAAACTTCTGCGTAGTTCTTCCCACCACTCAACTGCCATAACTTTAGTTGACTCCAAAAGGAGTGGTGCTGGGATTAATTATATATTCTTTTTACTATGCGGTGTGTTAAGTCTTCGTTACTACTGTGAGTGTCGTCAGCAAAAGAAAAGAGATAGGAACAATAACAGATATAATTAGTGGTTACTCAGACTAGAGGGCAGGAAAAGGAATAAAGAAAACGTAAAAGCAGACAGCCAATTAAGTTTGAAGTTGATATATGTATATATGTATATTTAAATAAATATATGTGTATATAATATCAACAACAATAATAATAAGTTTAATTGTAGTAGTTAGAGTAGTCAGGAGACTAAGAAAGGAGAGGATGTAAAGAAGTAAAACAATGAGTTTAGATTTCTACCCATTAACGGTGTATGGGATTTTAAGGGGATAGGCTGTTTGGACGCAGTCCATATGTCACTGCATGATTGTCCAGCCTTCCTTTAAAGCTCTCTATAGTGCCATAGCTACATCTGCCTGTAAGGAGTTCCAGGGACGGCAAACCCACAGTGAAAATAAGTGGGATCACATCCGAGTCCTTGCCCTCTGGTGAGCTATCCTTCTGGGTTTTCCATGAGAAAGCCTATACCTACTCAATGTCAGAACACCTTTGTTTGAGTGATTCTGGTCATTTGTTATCTTGTAGACAGTAAATAAGTCCCCCCTAAGCCGACGGTAGATAAGTTTGAATAGGCCTAATTTCTGTAGTCTTTCATTATACGGTTTATTTCGGAGATCCACCACTCCTTTTGTCACCCGTCTTTGGACTCTTTCCAAGAGGTTGACGTCTCTTCTAAGCAGCGAGGGTGCGATAATATTATGCACTTCAAGATGTGGTCTGACGTATGTTTTGTACAACCTTAGCTCAGGAGTGAGTGCACCTGTCAATGTGTAAAGTCTATGACCGCATATACCCTTGCTACACCCATGTGTAATTTACGCTTGTGTCCATTTTATCCATTGGAACTAAACTTAAGTCACGCTCCAATGTTGTGCAGGAAAAGCTTTCGTTGAACAGAGTGTAACTTGCATTCTGCAGCCCACAGGTGCACGACTGCACTACTTTGCGCTTTTTCAGGTTGAAAGTCATGCCACTGGCCACCGCCCAGTCTTCCAGAAGCTTGAGATTTTCCCTCAGCCTATCTGAGACTTCCAAGCACTTCACTGATCTGTATATCTTTATATCATCAGCGTATAGAAGAGTCAGGCAGCTTAGACGGCATTATAGGTGATTGATAAGAGTCAAAAACATCAGTGGTCCTAGGATAGAACCCTGTAACACTCCTGATGACGAGCCATGCCAGGATGATCGGACTCGATTGATCTTAGTGCGGAATTTCTTTTCAGCTATGTAGTCCTTCAACCATGACAGAAGCGGCTCATACTTACGAGTCTGACTTATTTCGTGTAGGAGAAGGTCACGGTGAACTGTATCAAATGCCTTCTAAAAGTCTAGGAAAACCACATGGACTGGAACATTCATATCCCAGTATGATGTCCAATATTCACAAGCTGATAGTATGTTTCCGATGTGGTTATATTCTATGAGCTGGATAGTCAGTTTGTGAAGCTTTCATTGCCCTACTAGACAGCATCTTCAGCGCATACTTCAATTTGAAGTGTTAAACAGGATTTTTCTTTCCTGAAACCATGTTGGGTTTCATGGAGTCTGTTAGTCCTATCGAGGTGCTCCATGACGCGATCACCAGTAATACTTTCCAGTACTTCTGGTACCCTAGGAGTAGTGCTACTGGTATGTAACTAGTGGCATTTTGCTTATCCCAACCCTTGAAAATCGGTAGGAGGGTGGCTCTTTTCCACACCCTTGGCAGTTTCCCCGAATCCATCGAGTGTTGGAACAATTCGCATAAGGGCCTACAGAGAGCTTCGGTGCAGTTTCAAAACAGATGGCCTGATTTCATCACAACTTGTGGAGTTTCCAGATGTGAGTCTCTGTAGCTTCTCTGGTACTACTGCCGGATTTATTTGGGGAGTATCCACTAGGTTTTCATCCTGTGCAGTAGTAATGCCTCCCCTTTGGTCCATACCAGTAATACCCACTTTGCTGTTTAACTGTCCTTCGAAGGCTGGCCTGAATGTTTCAGGCGTCTCACGACTAATGAGGTATCACCTGTTTGAACCAACTAAGGCGCATGTCCTCTGGTTGTTTGGTTTTCTCTCCGACATTATTGGCACAGGCTTTCGGGGTTCGCCAAGGGTATTTTGGCAAGCTTAGCTTGAAATGGCCTCCTGTCACTCCTGACTCTCACGTTGCACCGGTTCCTGAGTTCCAGATATGCTTCGTGGTCGGTCTGACTCTTGGATACTTGCCACATAAACCAGGCCTCCCGCTTTGCTTGCAGAATGCGTTGCGTGCCTCTGTTCGGCTGTGTTGTGACCAAAGGGACGGTATCTGAGAGTGTTGTGTGAAAAACTCTTTTACCACTTCCCAGTTTTCATCCACAGGTAAGTCAGCCCACTCTATGGGCCGTTATGCGCCAGAGAAAAGTCTCGGCATTCCAGCATAGTCCGCCTTGTTATAGCACAGACATGGTCGCTTAGCGTCCCACTGTAAGCGCCCACAGAGAACAAGATCGAATCCTATGACTGAGTGGTCTCTACTTGCTAAGGGGGTCGTGATATAGACCTTTTCGATGAGTAGATTGTCACTAGTTAGAATATAATCTAGTTTCGATGACTTTCTACTTGGGCTCCACCTAGTGTCGTCTCCAACGTTCTCAGCCAGTCCTGTATTTCTATTGGTTTGTAGTAGATTTCGACCGAGTCCTCCCTGAGCATACCCCGAGCTAAGTTTCAGTGATGGGGCATTGAAATCTCCAGCTATAGTGATTTGGTCGTAGCCCAAGTCCTGTGTTCCTGCAATAGTGGTGAGCAGGGGCTGGTTGTGCTCTGCTCCACAGGTGGATGATTGGTAGGTGACACCCACTAAATGCTTGGTGTGGCCTACAGTGAAATGACACACTTACGCATACAGCCAAATTCAAAGCACTATTTTGCATAGAACTTCCGTGTCGTGCAACTTCTTTCTTTCATATTGTTTCTGTGTTCCTTTCCCGTCTCCCATGAATCTCCGTAACTCTGTAACATTTGCTTTCTCTGACATCAAATCTATCCCCCTGCTATTTGATGTTCTTTTATGCTGACGAACATCTCTTCACATATATATATATATATATATATATACATATATAATAAATCTTGTCAGTAGAACACGTCACAGTACGACTTAGATTAAGGCTTTATCTGCCATATGTTTTATACTTACGGGATGAATTAAACTTGTCAAGATTGTTTTTTGACATAAATAATTACTCCTCATATTGATTACTACTCTGACTACTTAGTATTCTAGGAAACTTAAGCGGCTTTAAAGAATGAAAATGAAAACATTCACATTTAATCAAAGGCTTCTAAGACAAACGATTATGCTTCGAAAGAGTGTAGTTTCATAAATGTTACAGCGATGATTCTGTGAGACATATTTTGTCATTAACTTGCAATTAATAATAGAAATTGGGCGAAATCATGCTTTAAACAGTAGAAAAAGAGAAGAGGGATATAAATTCATGTTATACAGGAAATACATACAAATAAGTAGGCGAATTATTTTACAAAATTATGAGATGATTAAATAACATAGAAAATTCAAAAAGAAAAAATTTCCTAGTAATGTGTTCACCTGTTATTACCAATTATATCATGTTGGGTGAAATAAAATGGTAAAAGTGATGAAGTTTAGAAATGATCTATAAGGATTGAAATTTGTGAATCTTTAATAATAGAAAGTATTCCTTGATCATTTCTACTCCTTTGTTCTTCAAGACTGAGTTTATTCTTTTTTAAAGATGATTCACTTTTAGTATTCAATGGAATTTCATGCCATTTAGTTGGCTCAGTTGAACGTGAAGTCCTAGGTAGAGAATCTTCGTCAGCAGATGTTGATGTAGAAATGGCGGAAGCATGTAACAAGGATAAATTCCACTTTTCTAAATGCTGATCACGCTTTGTTTCTGATTCATCACTCGATTCAGAATCCAATGGATAACGTGGAACGGTTAATTCTACTGGTTTGTGAAATTTTAGACCACGAGGACCGCACATAACCATTGGACTTACCAGTACAGGTTTATCTGTGCACAGACGAGATTCTGAGTGTAAATCATCCAAAGGTAGCTCATTTGCACTATCATAGACCTAAAGAAAGACAGTTAGAAAATGTGTTTAGGATTAACTTGTTTATTCTTAAGGTTTAATATGATGAAAAGTTTAATAAACGGTTGTTGGGGTATGTTTTACTGTAAGCTGTTTAGTTAATATCTGAGCAAATGTCTGATGATGAATATAGTTTAAATCGTTGAATTTGTGAATTTTTAATGTCCCGCTTCTTCGTAAAATCTAATTGCAATGACATTTTCTATCGGTAACTTAGTAGATCATCACAGAAATCTTAACCAACTATATGGTTTAGGACCTCAGTAAGAATTTCAGTACTGAATCATTCTTGGTAATAGATGGTTGGAGGCAATCGGCAGGAAGCCTCGGACCTAGGTTTCGTGCTAGTTGGCACTCATCAGCAAGGCGTATCTGCAACCTTGAAGGAACTCATGTTCCTTCTGAGATTCGAACCCGCGTCACCCAGTGCTGCAGTCAGAGACGTTACCACTGAGCTATTCAGGCTCGCGATTGACCTCCTGTAGGACTGTATTGGATATTTTTGATTGCACACTAGTCAGTAACTAGTGTAATGCGTCTAGTCCTATCTTCGCTGCAGACTGAATTCTATCAGTCAAGCTTGCAATGTGGCCACCATGCTAGGTGGCTCGCCATTACGGTGCACTTTGAGTTGTTGGTAATAGATGGTTGGAGGCAATCGGCAGGAAGCCGGCGAGCCACCTAGCATGGTGGCCACATTGCAAGCTTGACTGATAGAATTCGGTCTGCAGCGAAGATAGGACTAGACGCATTACACTAGTTACTGACTAGTGTGCAATAAAAACTGAATCATTCTGTTTAAAGAAATGCAACACCGATAAGATGAAAAGTTAAACTACCTTACGTCCAACAAAACAGGTGCAACGAAAAGTCATGAGGAATGTCTTTACATTTGCAAATTATGCTATGAATGTGTCGTATTGCATGCATATGAAAATTAAGACTACTTATGTCCTAATCAACAAGACTAAAAACATATTCGTCCATAAAATCTCTGATTTTCGTTAGAAACTTTTATGAGGAAAAAGGCTGACAAGAGTCATAGAAATCGAAATATACACGTTTTGGCATGCTAAAGTATGTCATTCTGCTTTTAATTTTCCCTAACAAGATTACAAATTCATCAAGTCGTTTAATAAACACTCAAAGTGATAGAAATAGAGTGCTGGCTGTTTTGTTTTATTTAAACTCGTTTCTATGGAAAATCAAGTGTTTTCATTCTTTTTAGCATATAAAATATGGATACAGTTCTGTACTAAGTTCTAAAGCAGGTTAACTGCTTGATTTTCCCTTAGGACTGACATTTGATCTTAGAAGTTTCTTCACCAGGCTATATCTTCATTAATGAAGTTAGTCCGCGAGATATCACAAAGCCTGGTGATGAAACGTCCACGATGAACTACCTTTGCTGAAATAACACCGGGAAATTTTTACAGATTTATTCATGTACTGTTCACTGCAAAATTTTACACTTGTCTGTTTTGTCAGTTAAGACAGGCAAATTTCATACACTGGGTGAAGGGTTCGAATCCCGTTGCAACTACTAAGGTCTGGAAAATCCAATGATATCAACGAATTAAATACAAGTGTGATGGCTGGTTAAACAGTGAACACACACACATTAGTAACGGTTTATTCATTTTCTCCTCTGACACTATGCTGACTTAAAGACATTTTTCTTTTTATGACACCGAATAATTTATGGATAAATTTCTTCTATATGCACCAGGTTGCTAATGGCGTGAAAGTTTAATGAATTCTGCTTGTTTTCATTCGCGGCCGTATTATTTGAGAAATCAGCAAATATTTGTTATTCAAATAGACAGGAAATGAAAGAAGAAATTGCTGTGATTCATTTGACATCCAAATTACACTAAAGTCTTAAGTTTTGAATAAGTAATTAGATTAGAAAACATGATACAAACCTGTAGACTTAGCTAACGAGTATCAGATATATACTAAATGTAATGCGTACTACTTTACCACACACATTAACATACGGAAGATTTACAATATACTTAGGAATCTGTGTAAGGCAGTACAGCCTTTTGATTTCGGCTGTAAGGCACACTGTTAAATAAACGTTAACCAACCCATCCGACGGTTATATGTAGATAAATTTTGAGCTTATAGTAATTCGGTTGCAGGTTATGCCATTATATCACCTAGATAATGAAATATATTTGCAATGCCACCGAACTCCCCCCATTTCTAAATTAGTAAGAAATAATTTTGTTTCTCCTTAAATGCTACCGCTTGCTTAGTTTAATTCAGTTTGGACTTTTCCGTTGACTAATTGGACCGAGGTGCTCGGCCTCAGGTTGACAAGTTGGCTCCTTGTACAGATACTTCAACGATGTCTGATTCATTAACTTGTAGAAAATTTGTGAATGGTGGCTAGTAGTGGAATCCAGGACGCCCACTCTGTTCTATCTGCAGCTGGATGTACCTGCATTTCCCAGTGAGTGATGGCGTTCCCGCTGAATGAAATAATTATTGATACCCGTTGCTAAAGAGGTAGCTCTCATGGCCGGACCAGGGTCTAGTGGATAACTCTTTGGCATTCGAAACTATGGGAACTGGGTTCGGGCCTCAGCGGTAAGAACACCATCACTCACTGGGGAACGCAGGTACACCCAGCTGACAAGTCCCAGATTGGACGGGATGTGCATCCTGGATTCCACTGTTAGTCACCATTTTGCTACTATTTCCTGTTGGAAGTTCTAAAAAAGGAAGCAGAAATGTAAAACCTGGAAGGAAGTAGTTTTTGTCAAGGTCACTTTCGTATGATGCTGATAACTTTGCATTGATAAAGCATGTATTGAAATTGTATGAAATTGCAAAAGATTCTAGAAAATTTCTAATTCATTAGTTGTAGAAACAAATAAGAGGAAAAATACGAATTGACTTATTCACAAAGCAATCAAAAACAGTTACATTAGAAAGTAAAGTGTTCATCTAAATATTGGAAGCCCAGAACAAGAATAAAAAAAATCACTTTTGCTGACATAGTTTTCCAGATGTTACTGTCCTCTCAGTAAAAATAAATTCATTTCAACTTCTCATTTTTTATGGTTATTTAGTGGTGAAATGTGCTATACTCACCCCCATAACCAGAAATTATATTTAGCAGAAAACTGTAATTCTGACCTTTTTCAAAGATTTATCTATGCTTCATTTATCTACATTTTGAAATTTGACATATCACCGCTACAGTAGACCAATAAGAAGACTCTAGAAGATCTGGATTTCACGGATGATTTGTGTTTAATGTTACACAAATTGGGAATCTTGCAGGCGAAAACCAATAAACTAGCTGAAGAATCAGCGAAGACAGGACTCCGGATGAACATAGAGGAAACGGAGGTGATGAAGATAAGTAACCAACAGCAGCAACAATCGGCACCAACCACCATCAACAGGATAAATTTCAAAGAGGTCACTTCCTTCACTTATCTAGGAAGCACGGTTTCAACTACAGGCGGAACGGATGAAGATGTAAAAGTCGGCCAGAATCAGAAAGTCAAGATACGCCTTCATCAATCTGAAATCAGTTTGGAACTCTTCTGCTTTACTCACTCAGCACAAAGAGCAGCATTCAGATTTGCAACACGAATGTGACGTCAGTTAGTGATAGAATCCCGTATAAAGTAGTATATCATCATTTTTCAAGCATGTTGTGATTAATTATGCGATCAATCATTTCTCACGACTGTGAGGCCGACGTTGTTGTTGTAAAGAAAATGTATAAATAGCATGTGTTGTTTTCCTAATGGTTGTTTTTGTTGTTGTGATTGCAATATACAGTCACAGGCCAGCCTTTGTCTTTTGGTATTTGAGTGCCTTAGTGAATCGGAAGGTAACACAGGCAGATAGGCATGTTAGGTAGGCGCGGACAGAACAAAGTGACTACAGTTCTCATTCAGTTTAGTAGCAGTTATAACAGTTAGTGCTTCAATATGGGTCAAAAACTTGGTATGCGCTTCACGGAAAGCACTTCCAACAAGTTACAGACTTTTATTAACACCTACCTTCTCCAGCTCCATACTGAAAATTAAATGGCCTGCTGGCCAGCCAGAAAGAATTAGCAACAAGAAACTCTGGGAACAAACCAACAGACATGAGCCGATTGCTCAGCAAATATGTAGGAAAAAATGGAGATTGATTGAGCATACGTTGAGGAGGCCATCGAATGACATCGCACCCAATGCAAGCCTTCGGTCGAGTGGAACCCAAATGTGAAGCGACGACTGAGTCATCGGTGCGAGAGTGACATAGAGGGGATCGTGTAAGTTGGAGGAGGAGATGAAAAATTATGGTCATTCGTGGACCCAGCTAAAAAGGACAGTACCAAATAGAACAAAATGGAAGTGTGTTGTTGAATTCCTATGTTCCACTTGGAACCCAAGGGAACCATAATAGATAATAAATAGTAGGCCAAAGTAGACCAGTTGCCAACTTTTGGAGAACTTAAACAATAGCTAATAACAATAAAACTGCATAGTTTTAGTACTTTGTCAGCCTTTCTTTTCACCAGATTCTGACTAACATTTTCATACATTAATAAGTCTTTGCAGAAATGCAATATGTAAATGAGTTATATTAGACCTACCGGATGTTATGTGCAAAGAACATGCCATTAAATATATGCGCGACTCTTTGGTACTACTTGCTGAAGCTAGTGATTACAAAAAATAAGGATTACTGAAACTAATAGGGAACTTAATAATGATACAGTCAGTAAATCAAGCATAAGACCATGCAGTCTAGATATTGTTTGTATTTTAAAATAGAAACTGATAGGTATAAAACACAGGCGATTTGAGATACTCACCCGGAGAAATATCTTTTGCATTTCTTCTTCTTTTGAAATAGCTCCAGCAGGTATTCTAAGACAGACTTTATGTTCGGGTATTTCTAAAATGCCACCTTCTGAGCCGAACTCACCGTGCTTTTCAGCCAGAATTGTTCTCGGCGATGTAGCAATTGATGATAGGACAGAATGTGGGTCAGGTGTATTACTTCTTACATCGTATGACTGAAGTTTCTGCTCATCGCTTGGCCGACAGTCTGAAGATGTATTGTCATCAAAAACCAATTGATGCAAAGATAAAGTTGGACTTATTGTTGGTGTTTGACTGTCAACTGGTTCTGTTTCGTTTACAGAGTGTATATTACTGGGGAGGTGTTTGCTAAATAAGTATCAAAAAACCACAAAAATTTCATAGAAAGCTGTGAAGCTTGATAAAAGTGACTGCAGTTAAACATTCTGACGGTATTGCCATGAGATTATTCTATCTCTAATTTAAATTTCTGAATTCCATTGTAGATAAAATTTATTTTGATAAAGTCTCACAGTGTTATACAGTAATATTAGCTGATGACGCTTTGAGCACAATTTACTCTTCATAATTCTATCAGGTTACTCACACAACTTCCCAACTTCGTTTACACGGTTCCACTACTTCTGATCTTTTGATTTGATTGGTAGTAATATTTTCCATATTTCTGGTATGAGTGATGAGTCCTTTCTATTACACGTGTTGGGTGTAGATTCGATGAACAAAGATTCAGTAATCAATCTCTCTCTCCCCACCTGCCTATATTACTTTTTAGAATTTTGACTCTGTCCCACCCTATTGTGTGGTTGTAAGTTAATGCATGCAGTGCGATTGCTGAGTTTTTTCCAAATTACTGATCTTCGTGGGGTCAATCATTCTAATCTTACTTAAATTCTTATGTTCTGATAATCTCACTACTCCCGATCTTCTAGTTTGACCTATGTAGTTGACCTCACTCACAGTCATTGCATGGTATTTTTTAAATTGTATTATTTTGTTTAATTGGTTCCACCGGGTCGTTTAACCCACACAGCTTGTCTCTGAGTGAGTTTGTATGTTTTAATGCCAACCTGATTCCTGCTTTATTAAGAATCCTACGTAGGGTCTCAGATGTCCCCTCCTTATATGGTAAAACTACTGTAGATGCCTTATATTCTTCTTTATTTATATTATCATTATTAGTTTCCCCATTGTTTTTATTTTGTTTTTGACCTTTTCTGATATTCCCAACGAATTTTATAGGATAGTTATTTAACACCAACGCTTCTCCTATCTGTTACATTTTACAATTTTATTTATATTTCCAAATTTCCATTTGAGCATTCCAATTGAGCGAAGAAATTCATTCGTGAATTGAAAAGGAATATATTTCTTCGCTCCGTTTGTTGTTTTTAAAATTTCTGAGTGAATCAAACAAAGATCAACTAAGATTTTATGTGAAGATTTCTTTTTAAATAATCCAAATATTCATATAACTGCATGTAAATTACTGCATACCCATATTAACACGAGGAGTATAGGCGTCTAACTTCAAGGACATATAATACATAACTTGAAGACATCCTTAAAATAATATTAAATTCTACAAAACAGTATTTCGTTATCTTACTTCTAAATAACTAATTGTCTCCAAAACAGTTCTAGGCCATATTATAATTTAAAATAATAAACACTATTTTTTCCTCTGAATAAGGTTAGAGGATCTCTTAGTTCTTAAATTGCCAAAACATGACTGCACCCTTGACTCAAGGTGTTTCTGTAACTCCAGGTAAAGAATTACTAGATCGACGAAGATGGTGTAGATCAATCACATGTTATTTACAGAACATCCAGTAACTCACACATGTTTTATATTTTACCTTGACGTCATTAATGGGTTAGCCGAGAGAAGTAATAAGGTCTTATCACACAGTGGTAATGGATATATATCACAAACTGATAGCAGTTGGGATTGATGGGTCATTGGATCGGGTCCCAGTGGCTGAATGGTCTACTAGCTCGCTTTGTAACTGGAAGCCCCTGGGTTCGAACATCAGTCAGTATGTGCTGCTGAGGAGTCCCAAACTAGGACGAAACAGCTGTCCAGTACTTCCTGGAGGGTTTCCAATGACTCTTTAACTGATGTCAACTCGTGATCGAACCTGTAACCAGTCAAATTCCTTCAAGCCAACAATTGATTAATTCTTAATCATATAAAAGATTTAATTAGTTTAGAGGGTTTCATATGCTTTCTATTTGAAAAGTTACTCATTGAAGAAACTGAAATGAGACTCTACCACACGTTTGTTCGTTACAGATTTTCTTAACTGTTGTATTTTCATGCACTTGCTGTAGACAATCAACCTAAATCAAAATTGATTATGGTACTTCAGACTTTAAAATGCATGTAGTCGAATTGAATATTTCATTGGAAAAGTATATGGTCTCGTTATCCTTTGAAACGAACGATTAAACTGATATGATTATCAAAATTTACTAGCATGCTTATTCAAAAGATGAAAGAATAAGCGTATTAGTGACTTAAATATCTGAAAATTTGCACATGTGAAAGCATCTAGATGTAACCTAAATTGATTTGTGTGACCACTCTTAGTTTACGAGATTCCGTTGAAAAATGTTCACTGAATAAGTATTTATCATTATAAATTTTAATGGCTGAATCATTAGATCAATGATTCCTTGTTTCGTATCAGTGCGTGATGAGAACTTGACTTCTAAAGAAGTACTTTCAAACTATGAATGAGAATCACTGAGTATGTGATGGAATCTATCTCAATGTCATTCAGTTTAGACAACATAATAGGTAAATAGATCATGTTTTATTCTACAAGTAAAATTTAATTACAATGTAGATTTCATCACCAATAAGCATTAGTTAGACAGACCGTTGAAAATCAGGGAGTACTGGACTGATATATATTCATGACGTAATCCACATTGAAATCAATCCGGGCCCCTACAAAAACTCATGAAATATAATTACTTAACAACACGATCACTGAGTCCTTTGTTCAACTTCCAGCATATTCTCCCATCAGATTAAAAACACGATAGTGTTACCTTAGATGTAAAAATTACACAGAATACAAGTAAAAGTGTAGAGCTTTTGTATTTAAGACGGGAATTTAGCCAGTAATAATCACTCAAAGGCGTGCTCATCAACCACACGTGTGCTCTAGAGTTCGACCCCCCGCCCGATGCACTCCTTTTCTTCGCTAAGCTGGTAGTAACATTGATAAAAAGGGAAGGTTAGGCATGAGGCTAGCGATCCCGCCCAGTAAAAGTAAACACCAGTTCTATCGAAACTTTAAAGCTTTATCCTGAATCCGTGTGTTCCACTGGGAAAGTAAACGAATAAAAAAATCATTATAAGCTAAATACATTTTTATATGTGAATAAGCAATGAAAAGCTTGAGATCCCAGTGTAGTTATTGAGCCGAAATATAGAATACCCTTACTGAAAATGTAAGTTTATTTATACGGAAACAGACCATATGATTCATGAAGTGTAATTCTTATATTTATCCCTCTTTCAGGAGCATTTCGGTAAATCAAATAATAAAATATTACTCCGTAAACAATATAGTTAGCAATAATTTAATCTCAGAATTGATGCTTACTTTTCATATTGAGATTGATCGACTTGAGGATATTTTATTGAAGTTGATTCAATGTGTAATTTCAATGTTTCTAACGATAGCGGAGGAAAGTTTATCGAGGATAAAACATCTGTTGAGTTTGCAGACGAAACAAAAAGAAGATGGAACAGATTTTAAAAAAATAATAAATAAGAAAATTCATGATATTCTGGTGAGAGCTGTCTGCTAGCCGAATTGGACGATAGCAATTTACGTCAACGTTTACTTCCCAAATCTTGGTCATGAGAAGAGAACAAAGACAAAGGACTAAGTCAACAATCAATCACAGCAGACTTTGTTGCGTGGGCGGATATGATTCACAGATATATGGTCTGACCTTAAACGAAATGGCCACAAAGAGATGACAGATTAACTTTCAGCGAGAGAACAACCAATCAGAAGACGCTGTTTCTCTGCTATCAATAACCTATAATAATGTACATAAAAATGTATAAATATATATGTGTTGATTTCCTTAATGAACGATCTGTTGCTTGACTCTTGTCTTCTGTCGTTACAATACCTATTGTATTCTTTCATTTCAGCAAACAATCAAAGCAATAAGCTCTTCTAGTCTAATAATTAGTTACAATGAATAGAATTCAGTCATTGATTGGTAACTATTATAGTTTATTACTAGACATTGATATGGCTTCGCCTAAATTCCCCCATTTTGAGTGAACGTCGTTTGATCACAAGTAAAAAGGAAGTATTCCTTATGCAACAAACCACATATAGCGGCGTAAAGCCATGAAAATGCAATTTTATTTGTGTGACACTGAAACCTGAAGCCTAGATATGACAATGACGTAACATTTACTGTCACAAAATGACGAAAACTCCGAAGCTGTTCGAGCTATTTTTCAGTGAATAATTTAATATCTGATATCCTAACAATATACTACTTAAGTCATTATGTGAGCATTGCAACGACACAATACGCGTCGCTGTTACCATATGTGATAAAGGCACTCTCACTACGTTTAATTATTATTTACACTTGTGTGGTTAAGAATAATACATTGACATGTCACTACACATAATTTTCATTGATAAAAAGAACTTCCATTTTGGAAAGTATCTTTCTGTTAGTCGAGTTCAGAAATACTTCACTTAGCCAATAAAAGTTGCTGTTACTTAGAAATGCAACCTCGACATTTCAACTATCCACATATTTTCAAAAGTTAGTTTGTAGGGTTTTGATTTTGTTTTAAGTTAGAGAATCACTGAAAACTAGGGAGTACTGGTCAGCCGTTTCGACCTTTTTAGGGACTTACCATCCGTACGTACCTACTGGGTTTCGGAGCTAGGACCTTCCAGTTACGAGGCAAGCTTGTAGACCACTCAGTTACTTGGGCCCAACTCAATGGTCAGCCCATGAATTCTAACTTCTACTAACTCGTGATTTTAGCGCGACCATCAGCTAATGTCATCAGTGAGTATTTGTCCTCACTCCCGACCGAGTGGACCCCATTGGCCATAACTACTCACTGGAACTCCGGGTAACTTCATCCTGCAGCCAGTCACGAGAGAATTCAGATATCTACCGACTTATTTTTACTGAAATCCATTATCAGATGAACAGAATTTGTGTGGAATTTGTGAAAACATAATGAGTACTGTTTTACGTCAACGTTGTAGAAACTAGATCTTTATAAAAATTATATTTGTAAAATCTCAGTGAAATTGAAATAAGTGGTTCCAACGTTTCGTTCGGCAAACTGGTCTGAACTTCTGCAGGGAAATTAAACAAAATTAAGATAACAGAGGTTTATATGCATAAAAGGGCATCTCTTGTTTTTAAAAACTTTGTCCAATCATTTGAGTCATGAAACAGTCATCAAAATATAATAAACAAAATTGTATGAGCTATGATCAAAATTTGACCTCAAACCTACAAATATTAGTCTACTTTTGTTAAACACTCAAAACAGAGTGTACTTTTCATCAGAATTTTAGTGATTAGGTGATTCCGATTAATTTCCATGAGGAATTTGGAACCAGTTTGCCGGACGAAAGGTTGGAACTACTCATTTCAATTTCCCTGAGGTTGTACAAATGTAATTTTTACAAATGTCTACTTCTTACTCGGCGCCCAATTATTTTAGAACTATTCTGTCAAATCTTGATCACACTTCATATGAGTTGAAGAAACTAATTTAACAATACTTGTACAGTTAAGCTCGTTGCACTATACAACTCCACATGCTTAGCAACTGCAAAGTTGATCTTTCTTCCTTTTCACGAGTTGATCGCGGATTGATATCAGTCAGAAAACCATTGAAAACCCGCTGTTTCATCCTAGTTCAGGAATTATCGGTAGCACGCACCCACCACCGGGGTTCGAACCCACGATCTTCCGGTTAAAAGGCGTGCTGGTAGACCATTCAGCCAATGGGAATCAATCTAATGGCCCATGAATTCTAACTTCTACGAATTCGTGACTTAGCGCGATCGCCAACCAGTGTCATCGGCGAGAAATCCATTTTCACACTTGACTGGTTGGACCTCACTGGTTACGACTTCTCACTAGAACTTCAGGAAACTCCGTCGTGTAGCAAGTCACTAGCGAGCATCAGATTAATTTTTCACCAATTGGTTTGTAAGGATTAGATTTGTTTTTACGAGTTGATCTTCCTTTATCGAAATTTATCAGGGGAACCAAGTGCATGGAAAAGATTTTCACAACATACCTTATTATAGTATTCATTTCTACCTATCCTACTCGAATGTTCAATATTGTTTTCTTAGTTCATTTAGTCTAAATTCTGTTTGACTTCGTGATCACTCTTTTACCGATAACCAGACTTGCATTACAATCGTTTCTTCCCATCTTTCCCTGAAATATATTGGTCGGACCTTAAAAGTGAATTTCACAGTTATTTGCCTTGATATAAAAATTATTTCTCCCAATAAAAAAGAAAAAACAACCAAACAGCATCCAGTTTTCCAAGACGGTGAGATGACGGAAAAAAGGTAAGACAGCTATTCATTTCCTTGTTTCTAAATGTCACTACTCCGTAATATTATCAATGTGCCGAATTGTGTAGCAACAAAAGATTTCACTGTGATTCATCGGTAAAATGCTCACCAACCAGGCACATACGATCCGGGTCAGTCAATGAAATCTACAACAGTTAGTTTAAGCCAGACACGTAAGGAGGTGTAGACTTCCTGGTTGGGGTCCTCGGGATGGTAAAAACTAATGAAGGCTGGAGACAATTGGTGATATGGCTCATAATCGTTCTCAGTAGCGCAGATGCATCCACTTCGACTCGAATTGCTGCACATCGAGGGGAAGTTCTACGTTGAAACCAGTCAGTCAATCAGAATGTTACGGGTGTGATCCCCGGCTGACGCATTCGTAAACCTAGACAGGTCTGGATGTCAAACTAGCAACCCTGCTCCCTAAAATAGGCAATAACACCAGTGCTACTGAAACCCATAAGCTCAAAGCTTGAAGTTTTGATGTTCTACTCAGGAGGCAAAGGAATGAAATATAAAATAGAATAATACCAAAAGTTTTATGAAAGATTATGAAAGAAACTACCTTTTTGTTCATTTATCTCTCTGAGATGAAATGATTCTTTATTGACTGAATTTCTATTGTCACAACCACATTTACAATCACATGAACTTTTTGTTTTTACTTCATTAGTTGATTTAAATGGAACATTTCTTTGAGTATATCTTGTTTCATTCGATTGATACATTGGTAATTGGCCAGAAGTGATAGGATAAACATTATCTGGACACACTTGTGAATGACTTTCATTCTTTGCATTATTATTATTACTGATGTCTTCTTTTCTTACTTCTTTTCCGTAGTCAAGATTATCAACGGTTTGATTGCATAACCCAGGTCTAGGTGTCTCAGGATCTAAAACAGAAATAATTTTATAGTATATGTATCATAGTTTGGTTGTCATGACTAGGTAAACATTAAACACAGACATATATATATATGGATTACAAGGGTCATAGGAATATAAAATAAACAAACAATCAGAGTAATTCATATAATTTGCATATAATAAGCATTAACTAAGCAAGCTTCAGAAAAGAATTCATATTTGTTTTACACGCCTGATAATACATATACACTCGAAAGTAGAAATTTGCATTTGACCATATGCTTTTTCTCATATATATATATATATATATTTCATTTATAGTGAATACGAGAATTGTTAATCGATACACTGTGAGTCAGCTATCAGTCAGTGCATTTTTATATGCATGCATCATAACCATCATAATCGTCATGACCATGAGGTGAAGTAAATAATAAATTGTAGACGAATGATTTGTCTTTAAGGATATCGATATTTTAATTTTAGATTTTCGTCATGAACCAGTATTAGTTAGAGAGATCACTGGAAGCCAGGGAATACTGGACGTGTGTTTCATCCTGTTTTGGACCTCTTCATCAGTATTTAATTCACCAACGACTCCGTCAGGGATCGAACCTGAGGTCTTTGGGTTATGTGACAAAGCTCGTTGACCATTTAGCCACTTGGGGTGGATACCAATGATCCCTGAATTCTAACTTGTCAACTCGTGATCTAGTGCTGCCCTCATCAATAACTTCGATAAACATCCATTTTACCTTGACATGGTGGGACCTACTGATCATGAATTCCCACTGCGGCCTCAGGAATTCCATTCAGTGTAGCCATCAGTCAGCTGGCGATTGATATTCAGATTATAGGAATTGTGGAGATTTTGGATTAATTTTAATCATTGGAAATTCTACATGAATCAATGTTGGCTTTCTATGATCTCTCCAAATGACGTTTGTTTCTGAAAAAATCTAACAATTGAATTTAATCTGAAATCTGCCACTTAAATGAAGACTACTTGATTCGCCTATATTATTAGTGAATAAAAGAGATTACTATACCACAGAAAAATAGGATCACATTGTTTTTGCAAGGAAATAGTATGAAGTATAAGCTAATATGTATAATATTACATAAAATTGTCTTCTGGTTGGTTGGTTAATGCATACCCACAGTTATGTGTGATTTGATGCACTGAGGAAATGAAAAGAAACTAAAAATGACAGATTGAATGAGAGAACTCAGGAAAAAAAATGAATACCTGATGTCAGTTGATGGATGGTGACTAGCAGTAGAATCCAGGATGTGCATTTCGTCCTATTTGAAGAAAATCTAAACTGCGTTAAGTAAGACCCGTTGCACAAGAAGTGGATCTGGTGGCTTAAATTGTCTAATGGGTAACGCTTTGGTAGTCGAATCTATGGGCACTAGGTTCGAGCCTCAGCGGGGGGAGCACCATCACTCACTGGGGAATTTAGGTACACCCAGTGACGAGTCCCGAATTGGACGAAATGCGCATCCTGGATTCCAGTGCTAGTCATCATCCACCAGTTGACTTCAGATTACATGACCAGACATAGTCGAAGCATCTGAACAAGGAGGCGAGCACTTCGGTCCAATCAGTCGACGGGAAAATCTAAAATTAAATTAAATAATAATGAATACCGTTTCAAAAATCGCTTTGATTCATTGCTTTAAATTAATTTGGTTCTGTAGACAAACACATTGCCAAGAAACTATTCAAGCTAATCTACAGAAAATTTAAGTGATAAGATTTTAGGCTGTTTACTGTGTTGTTCGATAATTAAGCAGAACAAGCTAACAGAATCAAAATGAATCATGCTAAGAATTTCTAAGCATTTACATTTATTCTATTCAGCTACTTTTCTGAATAGTTGATTTGAATGTTTACATTAGAAACTTCATATGTGAGTGTTGAGTATTTTTCACTTGTGCAACCCAGGACACTACGGACTATTAGATAAAGACAGGAAGTGAAAGAATAAGTGCATTAATAGTTTCAAGGTATACTGTTTTAGGGAAGCCTCTGGCGATACAATACAATATTTTCAAGTATTGGTTTTGTAGGGATTTTGTTTGATTGCATGGAGGATTTCATTATGAGCTGACATCAGTTAGAGAACCATTGGAAAACCTGGGAGTACTAGGACGAACTAGGACGAAACAGCTGTCCAGTACTCCCAGGTTTTCCAGTGGTTCTCTAAATGATGTCAGCTGATGATGAAATCCTCCATGCAAACAATACAATATTCTCTTAAGTTCCAGGTTATCGACTTCTTCAAGCGTGTTTGTATTTGGCCTTAGAAAGCAATATGTTATTGGATTTGATCATTTCATTGTCGCCTTTCGTATCAGTTTGGACATTTCCCAGTTTTCAGTCTTCTCTTTTACCCTTAGTGCTCTGGGAAAATTATGTTTGCTACACCAATAGTGAAATATAATGGCAATTAAACTTTTCACTGTAGGCATATGGCACTCCATTATGGATAACATTTTATTTTGATGAAATCACACGGTGTTATACACTAATATTTACTGATGACAGATAGAAGGAGCTGTGGTGTTAAATAACTAACTATCCTATAAAATTCATTAGGAAGATCAGAAAAGGTCAAAAGCAAAATGAAAATAATGGTGAAACCAATAATAATAATAACATAAATAAGAAAGAATATAAGACATCTACAGTTTTACCATACAAAAAGGGGATATCTGAGACCCTACGTAGGATTCTTAATAAAGCAGGAATCAGGGTGGCATTCAAAGCTGCAAGATTACTCAGATAGGACAAACTCTGTAGGCTAAGGGATCCGGTGGATTCAATTAAACAAAATAATATCATTTACAAAACACCTTGCAATGACTGTGAGGTCAACTAGATAGGTCAAACTAGTTGATCGGGAGTAGTGAGATTATCAGAACATAAGAATTTGTCTAATGTCAGGATGGTTGACACCAAGAAGATAAGTAATTTAGAAAAAGGAATTCAGCGATTGCACTGCATGCATTAACACACAACCACCCAGTAGACAGTATGGGACAGAGTGAAAATTCTAAAAAGTAATATAGGTCGGTGGAGAGAGAGATTGATTACTGAATCCTGGTTCATGGAGTCAACACCCAATACATGCAATAGAGGTGACTCAATAGGCAGATACCAGAGATATGGAAGATATTATTGCCATCAGTCAAATCAGTGGATAATAAATATTGTTAAAATGTACTCACTTCACATTATAACATTCTAACAAGTTATTTATTTATTTTACTATAAAAACATCTTATTTCCCATCTGACTGTATTTTATTGATAACACTAATACTGTTTCCGAATGTACTTTATCTTATATTGATTTTATTCAAATATCTAATCAATTTTTACTCATGCATATAAATGAAGCAAGAAAGTTGTTTGAGTGAGTACCTTGACATGATTATGAGCAATGAATTGTGCTCGAAACGTGGTCATCAGTAAATATTACTGTATACATCACTGTGTGATTTTATCAAAATAAAATTTGATCCATAATGGAGTTATACTCTACCACAGTGCCCAAGTTTTATCCTTATATCAATAGGCATATGGCACTTGTAAAGAATCCAACTGCAGGATATTCAATGTTTTAACGTAATGTAATCACAAATTATTACGTACCCTCTTTTGTAAGCATATCATCGTCTTCAAGTATTTCATTGACTTTCAACTGTCCTATTTCTGTTTCTTCACCAATCCACACCTGCAAATATGAAAAATTTGAAATCTTATAACTTAACAATTTGCATGTTCATCAATAAAACAGATTGATAACCACTAGCAAGAAGGATAAGCGTTGACAGTGGAAGCAGACAACTTATTAAGAGAAACACTCCATCATATATTTATTACATGTCATCTGAAACTAAATGCATTCGAATTTCAAGCATTTTAGATATGTATTCACCATATTTAGCTCAGGAAGTCGAATGGTAACGTCTCTAACTGCAACACTGGATGACTCAGGTTCAAATCCTTAAAGGCAGATTGGTTCCTTGAAGGTCGTTGATCCGCCCTGTTATGCGTTGGTGGTGGTGAGACAGTAGAACCCTCGCATACGGTCCGGGGTTCAATCCCTAACCAATGCACTACTTTTACCTCCCTAAGCCGGTAGTAAGATTGGTAAAGAGGGATGGTTGGGCATGAGGATAGCAACCCCAACCCGTAAAAATGAACACCTGTGATATTGAAACTTCAAAGCTCTACTATGAAGCCATATGTTCCAGTGGGAACGTAACGGAATAAAATAATAAATAATAATTGACCATATTATTTATAAAAGTTGAGTAAATAAATAACTTTTCAAGAGTTAATTTGTAAGGATTAGATTTGTTTTTACGAGTTTGACCACGAACTTATATCTGTTAAAGAACCACTGAAAACCCACACGGAGTACTGGACAGCTGTTTCGTTCTAGTTCGGGAATCATCGGTGGTACGCACCCACGGGTTAGGTTACAAGACAAGCTCGTAGACCATTCAGTCACTTGGACCCAACTCAGTGGCCAACCCATAAATTCTAACTCCTACCAATTCGTGATTTTGGCTTGACCACCAACCAGTGACATCCATCCTAGAACTTGACTGGATGGGCCACTGAATCAGATCCCAGTGGCTTAATGCTATACGGACTTACCTTGTAACCGGATGGTCCTGGGTTCAAACCCCAGTGGGTGCGCACTGCCGATGATTACCGAACTAAGATGAAACAGCTATCCAGTACTCCCTGTGGATTTTCAGTGATTCTCTAACCGATATAAATCCGTGGTCAAACTCGTAAAAATAAGTAAACAACTCCACTGATTATGAATTCCAAAGTTGTTAGTGTAAAAGGATATATTCGTGTCATTTTTGATATCCCTACAGAATACTTCTTTTAAAATTAATTGAATATTTTCTGAAAAGTAAACAGTGGAGTGATGGAAACCAATAAAAAGCATTTATTCGACATCATAACACTAATACCACCAAAAGTAGGCAGAGTCGAGTAAGTCATAAACTTCCTTTCATCTCTGCTTTTATTGAATTTCTCAGGGATATTTTCAACCAATACATCGACAGAATTAAACATTCCCTGAAGAAAATTTCGTAATGTTACAACGATTTTATTAGACATTATTTGATTTCAAACCGTATACTACTTAAAAAATCATGGGAAAACTGTCACTTCTTATAGTGTTAATACAGTGATTACATTTTCCACTATACTTGCTTGATCTGCACACATCTAAATGTATAAGTAGAATTCCCCATTTTCTACCACTTGCTTTTTTAATACCAATCAGATCTGCCTTTTATTTACCAGCAGTATTTGTGTCCGATATTCAAATAAAGAAAAATAAAGTCAATGATTACCGGTGAATTTTGATGATGTCTTATTACTTCAGTGAGATTACGTAACCATTCAACCTCTGAGAAAGAATTCTTTTTTGAAGTTACAGGTAACAATGGTACAGTATCTGTTATAAAATACGACTTATACTGACGTAAGTGAAGTACAGAATTCCATAGTATAGTGACCATCTCTTTAATTGTAGGACGTGTACGACTGCCTAATTTCGATGGAATGAACAAGGCAGCGGAATTTTTATTGAATTGCCAGTAGTGTTTCAATAAATCTTTTAGTTGAGATTTTGAGGCTGGATTAATCAATATAACTATCGGTGGTACTCCAAGAAGAATGAGGCGTTCAATAGCTGCAGGACCAATGTCTAGAAGACAATGGTAACCTCTTTTCATGCATTCCTATTTGGAAAGAAAAAACAGAAAATAATGAGAGGGGGACCTACAGATTAATTTTTATATTAAAAAGAAGTGATCAAAAAAATCATAATAATTCGTTGTAGCCTGAGTTAAAATAACAAATAATTTAGTAGTAAGATTAAATGAGTCTTTAGCATATCAATATAGATGTGCTGAATGTTAGGAGTCATCCAACGAAATGACCAAAACCAGGATTATGAGCATGAAATCTTGAGGAAATTCGCATACCTCCATTATTACTCAATACTAAAATTAAAATATTCACAGTTAGAAACCAAGTTGTTTTCATAAAGTGCCAGATGGTAAGTAACCTGAACTTTCATCATGAGCTGACATCAGTTGGAGAACCATTAGAAAATCTGGGGGTACTGGAAAGATGTTTCGTTCTAGTTTGGGGCTCTTCATCAGTACGCACCCACCCATTGGTTAGTGGTCGCGCTCTATCGTGAATTTGCAGAAGTTGGAATTCATGGGCCATTGGGTTGAGTCCAAGTGGCTGAATGGTCTACGAGCTTGTCATGTAACCGAAAGATCCTGGGTTCGAACCCCTGTGGTGGGTGCTTAATGATGAAGAGCCCCAAGCTAGGACAAGAAAGATGTTCAGTACTCCTAGGTTTTCCAAAACTTCTCTAACCGATGTCATCTCATGATGAGATCCTGTAACTAATCAAACAAATCCCTTTAAACGAACATTTGAAAATCTGGATTTTATTTGCTGTGTAACCACTAAGCCGTATACTAACAGTGGTCAAGTCTTTTTCGAGGTTTTTACCCAGAAGCTGCTAATTCAAACTGCCCATCAGTGGTAATTTTTTTGCTTTCAACTTCAGTCGTGAACTCTTCATCACAGATAGTCGGCTAATAGAGGATACACGAGTGAGTTGTGTAAAGGTTTCAAAAAATTGTAGCGTAAAACTGACAATACTAGTATTATGTCTCATTTCTTGCCAGCATTAATGACTATGTTAAGGCAAAAATCGCAAAGAACAAAACATGACAACTTATCCCTTACCTATACAACATTAGTTAACTTTATATTACCCATTGCATACCTCACTAATTTATACAAGAAATATTCCTGTCAGCAACTTTTATTTATCCTTGTTAAATGTACCTTGAAAGTGACTTTTGCATTTGAGATCGCTGTCATGTACAGTACAGTTATCAAAGAGTGAGCATATTAATGATTAGATATTTTTAATTTAAGTAAGGACACTTTGTTGGTATATCCACATTCCTAATAGAATTCTTCATACGACAAAACAATTGGTTGATTCACTTATCCAAAATTAAGCAATTTTTAGGCTTCGATGGTTAAAAAGCACAAAGACGGATACTAAAACATCTATCATCATGTTTGTGTAACCAGAATCCAGCCTTCAAACAGTAACATATCCTTATTTTGAGTTTTGTACAAAAGATGGTACAGTCTCAGCGTCACGAATAATAGACTGAATCATTTCAAACTTTGATCAGCCCAAATTACATTTTTTTAAAAACACTCACATTGATTGCGCTTAGTCTAATCAAACCATAAGGCTTGTTGTTATTCTCTTCATCTATTGGATAGTTTTTCCCAGTATTGTTTGAATAGGCTGAATTAATTGGCGGGACAATGAATTTAACTGGTTCTTCAATAAAATAGTCAACTTTTGCTGATGATATAGATGACATTTGTGTAAGACGTTGACGTGCTAGTTCGCACAGCGGACCAAATATAACAACTGGTCGAGGGAAAGGAAATTTATCCAACTGTACTACTCTTTCGTATGGTGGTAAAGTAAATGCTGTTTGTTGGTTTTCCTGGAAACGCAAGTTATAAATAAAATAAACCTGTATTAGTAATTAAATAAGACAAGTTTGCAAAGGCAGTAGTAATGAGTATAAAATTAAACCACTTTAGACAAAACGGGCTGAGAGTGAAAACCACTATTTGGTACACAAATTGAGTCAGGATTTTATTAGGTGAACAAAGTGGAAAGTATAAAGGACTTGAATCTAAAGCATCAAATAAAAAGAACCTAGGCGAAATGAAAACTCTCTACAGTGAAACAGTCAGTGGTGGATCCTTTTCACGCCTAAATAATCCTCATTTAGCTTCTATTTTTACGTCTCTGCATTTCGTGTTACATAAGTGTCATAAGAGAAGAACATGAACAGGACAATAGACACATTTTCATGGCTTTGCTCTTATCCAGTACAAAAGAAATCAGGTACAGAAACTTGGCTACAAGGGCAGAGCTATTTGTTCATAAGATGCAGTCAATGATGAACTGAACGTTGTGTATGAAACTTTTATTGTAAATAACTACCCCGAAACATTTGTTGCGAAACACATGGTCAAGAGAGTAGAAAAGAATTCTCCCGTATCTGCTAAAAAGAAGCCTTTATATCATTATCATAATATTAATATTCCCTTGCGTTCCGAGTGGAACATAGGGCTTCAACAACACATCTCCACTTTGTTCTGTTTTCTGACGTCCTCTTCAGCTGGGTCCACGGTTGCCCAAACTCTCTCATCTCTTCCTCACACGATCTACTCCATGTCACCCTCGCACTGACGACCCACTCGTCGCCTCCCACTTGGATTCCACTTGAGGGCCTGGCGTACGATGTCATTCGGTGGCCTCCTCAATGTATTCCAGATCAGTCTCCACTTTCTCCTACTTATTTGTTGAGCAATCGGCTCTTGGTTGGTTTTTTGCCAGAGTTTCTTGTTGTTTATTCTTTCTGGCCGTTTGATCTTCATTATGGAGCCAGCGAAGGCAGCTGTTGGTGAAAATCTGCAGCCTACTGAAAATCTATTTCGTAACTGACACGCAGAGCAAGTTTCTGACCTGTATAGAAGAACCGACTTCACATTGGTGTTGAAAATGCGAATCGGGTTCTTTATGCTGATTGAGTGCAGAGGATTTCCAAACTGGTTTTAGGCTAATGAAGGCGTACCTTGCCTTTCCGATTCTGACTTTGACATCTTCGTCGGTTCCGACTGCCTGTAGTTGAAACGATGCTTCTCAGATAAGTGAAGGAGGCAACCCCTGTTAGATCTCTCCCATTGATGGTGATTGGTTGATTTATATATGCGACTTCACTTCACAGGTGATATACTAAATGAAACAATAACCAACAGGTTGACAAAACTGATTCACAAAACTTTTAATACTGAAAAGATGCAACCTACAATTTCCACACGAGCGGTTGTAATTTCGAAACTGAAAGACGAAGTACCTAGGCTAGCCACTTCTTATTGTGTATATCAATTCAACTGCTCCTGTTGAAGCAGTTATATTGGCCGTTGCTGCAGGAACCTAATTTTTAGTACTTGGCAATACTTTTCAGTATGGCTAAATAAAGGTGTAGTTGAAATCAACAATAGTTCTATACTATATCGCCTCGTCGAAACAGCTCACAAGGCTATCGAATACGGAACAAACTGTCAAAGACCTTCAAGTACCGATGTGGTGGTGTGATACAGACAATATGTTCCAAAGGAAAATGATTCTCACATATTCCCACAGTTCAGTAGTGCATTAGCAACAGAATACTATAAATATATTTGAACATTCTGTTTCACATCGTTTAATGTAAACCATAATCACACGCTCAGTGACTGGTTAACGAATATAAACTGTGTAGATATAAATAGCGGTTTGATCAATAAAAATATACATTTGCTTTTATGTCTTGCTTTCTGCTATTACACAGGACACTAGACAGCACAGTCAACTGCAAAACATTTAAAAACTTCCGGAGCTATGTGCTCAAAAGAAACAGGTCAATGCTACCCTGATCTACTGCAGAACATATAAATTCGCTGTCGTTTTTCTTAATGTATCCAATATTCCGTTTAATGTTATAATGATGCACATTATCACCTACATATGCTTCTGAACTGTAATCTATTCATATCATTGATTCGATATTTGTTAAAACATTAGTTTTGTTAACAAAAATAACTTTTATTATGGATATTTTACTGAAGAACCTGACGAAGCTATTGAAAGGAATGTTCCTTGTTCACTAATCAGTTCATTTTTTTTCGAATACTTAAAATTCTTGCTAGAATTAATTCATCTTGTAACACAGATAGGCATAGACTTATTATAACGTATACATCATAATTATTGTTGTATTATTGTCCCCTTGGGTTCCTAGTGGAACATAGGGCTTCAACTGCATGTCTCCACTTGCTTCTGTCTTCTGCTGTACTTTTCACCTGCATCCATGTTAATCCATACTGTTTCACCTCCCCTTCACATGGTCTCCTCCATGTCACCCTTGGACGTCCCACTCGCCGCTTCCCTTTCGGGTTCCACTCGAGCACTGACCTGACGCGTGATGTCACCCAGTGGCCTCCTCAGCGAGTGTCCAATCCATCTCCACTTTCTCCTGCATATTTGTTGGGCGATTGGTTCTTTTTTCGTTTGTTTGTTCCCATAGTTTCTTGTTGGTTCTTGTTCTTTCCGGCCATCTGATCTTCAGTAGAAGTAGAACGAAGACAGTTATTGATAAAGGTCTGCAACAGGCTGTTGGAAATATTCTTTGTGACCCGCAAAGTTTCTGATCCGTATAGAAGAACTGACTTGACGTTTGCATTGAAAATCCGAATTTTGTTGTTGATGCTGAGTGACGACGATTTCCAGATTGGTTTCAGGTTGATGAATGTGTTTCTCGCGTTCCCGATTCTCGATTTGACATCCTCGTCCGTTCCTCCTCGTCTAGATTACTAGGTCACTAGTTTTCTAGTCGGTCCCAAGCCCGGATAAATAGGGAAGGTTGGAGCATGGTGCTAGCAACTCCACCCCTAAAACTTAACCAAATTGCTACAAAAACTTCAACGCACAAACATATTAAAAATTCTAAAAACAATACATCATAATCCCAGTAAAATATTTTCTTAAAATGAATTTTCCAATACTGGGTTTTGTGAGGATTCAATTTTTACATTAGATCACTGAATTTTAGGAGGAGTACGACAGAAAAACAAAGAGCAGTAAATAGAGATGCGCTCAAAACCGCGTATCGGGTTAAATCGAAGACCATCATGCACACCACCACCATGCACAGACTACAACTGTTTCATCTTGAAAAACAATCAGGCATTGTTTTACAACACCTCCGAAGTCTCAGATCAGGGTTCTACACCTTTTTACATGGTTAAAACCAAACAATTGAGAAAACCACTTTGACTTTTTAAATTCATAAATTCACTTTTCCTTTATATAGTTATTGGTTGAATTAACTACTGTTCAGCAAACATCTTTGAAATTTGGTCAGACTTACAAGAATTATTAACACTGCTATCACTTACTTGATGTTGATTAGCTGATATATAACGTTGGGCTCTTTGCTCATTCGGTATTAAGCCAATGTCACTAGTATTCGGATAAACCTTGGTTGCCTATGTAAATGTTTAAAAGAGAGAAACTTGTTCTGTTCAAATTAAAACAAACATGTAAAATAAAACTTTAGATATCGTTTAATTTATTTAAATGGATTGAAACAGCGAGTCGTAATTCTTTAATCCTAAATTTATCTATCAGTACAAATGTATGTGAAATGCAAGGCAGATTCAGAGAGATTTAGCCGATGAGCATCTGGCTGTTCGGTAACTAAACAACAAGTTCGGGAATTTAATTTTTTACTCTTGTGTTTCACAAGTTTTGCGGAGTTCATAAAATTTTACTTGAATAAAATGAGAGGAAATAATGAAGAAAGGTTAAATTACTTCACTTCTATCATCCGTAAGTTTCTACCCTAAATTTTACAGCTAAGAAACAACAAGATCAATCAGTAAACTCAGGATTGTTTGTTAATTCAAACACCAATGCTTGATGAGATTAATCGTCATTTCTTTTGTCAGTGTGATACTTTATTTATTTTTTTAATTCCTGTACGTTCCCAGTGGAACATAGGGTTTCAAGCTACAGGCTTGAAGTTTCGGCAGCAGTGGTGTTTATTTTTACGGGGTGGGGTTGCTAGCCTCATGCCCAGCCCAACCTTCCTTCTTTACCAGTCTTATTACTTCGGTCGGTGATCGAACCCCGGACCACATGCTTGGTCGACGAGCTTTCTTACTTCTGTGCCACCGACGCCGCATACTTTATAACTGTATACTATGTAAATCATGAAGACTTTTGATAAGAACTACCAAATAATAACACGACTGAAAATCCAGGTTGGATAAGAAAAGGCTGACTTCTGTTGGAATCTCAGGAAAGTGGTTACAGCTGTTTAATAACATAGATTTTCCCTTCAGCATCAAGTATATATTTTTCAAATTAACATTAGTATACCAAAATATGATAAACAGCTTCAATAAAATCAAATCTGGCGGTTTTGTTCAATAACTTTAAAGGTGAAATGTAATCTAAAACACAAGTCAGCTCAATATCTGATCATTAAATAAATATTGGCCACTGTCTGTAAATTAAAGATTCTGTATAAAATGACATAACCAGTGATCGCCTATCGCGCAGAAATTGATTCTCTGTCAGTGTGAACAAATATCATTCAGAAGTAACGGACATTTTACACCTGTCAGATGCTATACAGAAGCTTTCACCGAAATGCTTCAAATACTTCAGAACCTGATAGTATTAAAAAATTGATAATCTAAATGTCTAAATGGGTATTATTTTTTTGCGTAATGAATAATCTAAATAACACTGAAGATCAGATGGCCGGAAAGAATCACCAACAAGAAACTATGGGAACAAACAAAACAAGAACCAATCGTCCATTAAATATGCAGGAGAAAGTGGAGATGGATTGGACACTCGCTGAGGAGGCCACTGGGTGACATCACGCGTCAGGTCAGTGCTCGAGTGGAACCCGAAAGGGAAGCGGCGAGTGGGACGTCCAAGGGTGACATGGAGGAGACCATGTGAAGGGGAGGTGAAACAGTATGGATTAACATGGATGCAGGTGAAAAGTACAGCAGAAGACAGAAGCAAGTGGAGACATGCAGTTGAAGCCCTGTGTTCCACTAGGAACCCAAGGGAACAATAATAATAATAATATTGGTATCTCCCTTCAAAATATAAGTCATCATAATCACTTTACCTCACTACTATAGTGTTTTATTTTGTAATGAAATCAAAGAGTACTGTTGCAGAAACAAACACAAAACAAACTGCATGGTCAGATGAAGCGACTAACGACTAAACCGAATATCAGGCAGAAGATTACTTCATGACTACATTGTGAAACAGTGGTGCAGTGGAACTTTTATGTTGTTTTATGATTATTTAAAAGCTGTACTGTTGAATTGTTACAGCTGAATGCACAATATATAATTAGTTTGGTCTTATTGAATAGGTCCATCGAAGTTAGTTGGCTCTGTACCAGTCATATAAGAAATTTAGCTATTTTTTGAAGTGAGTTCGCTCGTGTGCATATCTGATCAATTTTACTGATAGGTGAATAAGTTACGCGGTTGTAGGATTAGTCGGCGGCGGATAGAAAATTCTGCTTGGAGTTTGAAAACACTTCAAGTCAAGGTAAAATTATAGAACGGCTCATTCAAATCCTTCTTAAACCGAAGTATTTTATGGATTTCTAATTGTTAATGTGTGATAATTGAGTTCCTGCTAAATTAAAGCCATCTCGAAGCCATCATTTTAAAGCTGATCGTACTTTCTGTGATAACATTTATTTTATGTGAAGATCAGTGTTAATGGTAATTATACTCAATTCGAGAACTCTACATGTGACATCTCAAGCTTGAAGAACAACAATACGACTGATCCAATTAGGTTATTTTTGCAGAAAATTAGCTGATACTTTCAGTTTACAGAGCAACACATAAGCTTTCAGTTAAATAATATATATATAAAACATTTTCATAGATAAAAATTTAAACTTACCAACCAACTTCCAAGTGCATCATCTACAAGTGTTTCTTGTACATGAAAGATATCACCTTTCAGGATACAAAGACCTGAATACTTTATCGATGATATTAGTGCTGATGAACCTGACACATATTGATTCATATTAAAGTTGGCTCTCACATGAAAACTCTCATGAACAGCTTCACTGTCACGTATCTTTTGATATGATAAAGGATCGTAGAGTAGTTCAAGTATTAATTTATCTTCATTTGCCATTAAAGATAGAAATACTTCCTCTTTAGTCCAACCTTTTAAATCAGTACCGTTCAGCTGAAAGGAGAATGACGAAAAAACAACAATTACTTATGATGTATACTATATGATGGTGTAGGAGTTTCGAAAACATAAAAGTAGTTAAACTTGAGCGCTCCAGGAACATTTTTTGGGACCTGTTCAAGGTATCCCATTTACGTAGTTCAAGGGAACTAAATAAATACATGCAGTAAGATGTTTACACTACTGTCTTTGACAAATGATTCAAAACCTTACAGTGATGACCAACTTCACTTTGACTCGGTCGGCACTTTTTATTATTCTGCTTGACTTTCTGCCTTCATCTTCTAAGGTCTCTTCGATCCATACAGGGAAGTTTCTAGACAAAGCAATAAGAAGATGTAATTTGTCTGAATCGTGTAATGTATTTGCGCAACACATTTCGAACAGTTTGATCACACACGGACTTGTCATGTTTCTATAATTTTAACCGATATAAACCATTTTTCTTTTTTGTTACATAGGCCGGACAATTAGGCGTGTTCCTCGTCAAATTGCCGAAAATCATCCTACGTGGTTCAGTAAAGGACAAACAAAATCTATTCGTAGTGCTATTCTATCTCATCTTGTGGATACAGAACACAAGGTTGATGTCAACGAGGCTTTCAAATTCGTTTAACGCATACCAACAAATCTTAACTTCACCTTAAGAGTTCGTCTACTACATATTCCTGAGGCTGGCTGTTGGGATCCACATTAAGAAGCCTAACTTATGTGTCCAAAAGAAGCTGGTTCAGACATCACCCTTACCTTCGCCATCTAGGTTCGAATGGTCCTCAATTTTCTGTAGAAATTTGCTTAATTTTAGTTGATATTCTATTTGCTATTATATTATTATTATGATTTATGCATCTTTAACGAAATGTAATTCCATTGATCTTAACAAATGGATATTATTTAAAGAACGCTAATATTGTTATCTACTACTATTCTAGAATATTCTATGTATATAAACATATATATATATAATTGTGGAGCCAGAAGAGGAAATTATCGAAACGGATATTCTTTGCTCAATTATTTCGTGTTTCACAGATTTCTGAATGAATATTTTTTGTTTTTGTTTGTTTGGCATGTGTTATGGTCATCTAGAATATTTTGAAAGATTACTGCTGAAATAATCACAGTGAATATCTATTGGGAAAATGTTTACCAACAATTATTCAATCAATTTAGTCGGTCTGTAAGATTCATATCCTACTGGTACTGTAAAGAAGACAAGACCGAGGAGGCTGAAAGGAGTGTTTATTTGATGAAACGTATTGTACATAGGTAAATTTGGTATACCATATTTTCAAACTGCAATTTGCCATTTACCACATCGTTGACGAATTGGTCGAATATCGTTACATTCGATAGCTTCTTGGATTCTGCATCATATGGCAACATTCTTCTCATGATTCTCTTCTTTGATTGCTCTTTCCAGTGTGCAAAACATATTGTTACTTTTGTGAATTCGTTTCTGATATACTACTTATATCGGATTATAAGTAGCACTCACCACAATACGACTTTGCACTATTCTAGGCATGCAGTAAATACTGCCTTATCGAAGAGCAACGTGTGAGTGTGAAAATGAAATCCGCAAAACAGGAAAACAGTTTTATCAAGGATCATATTGTATAAATCCCAAAGTCTGAAAATGCTGTCATATAGAAATACATCTGTATAGTATCTTGAATTAGTAAGAAGTTTCAGAATGCTAATTTCTGAAAAGTGTTCTAAGGCATTATCGATCAAGTGGTCATTTTTTTTGAAAAGCACCTTAATGTGATTAGTTATTGAAAGCAGTAACCCAGGGTAGTTATAATGTGAAACAAGTGCAAGATTCATCGCTATCAAAAACAAATATTTCCTGTATTGATTTTGTAGGAATTTTGTTGTTGTTTGATTGGTTGGAAGATTTCATCATGAGCAGACATCAGTTAGAGAGCCATTGGAAAACCTGCAGGGAGCGCTGGACACCTGTTTCCTACTAGTTTGGTACTTTTCTGCAGAACGCACCCACCACTAGGGTTCGAAGCCAGGACCTTCTGGTTACAAGGCGAGCTAGCTCGTGGACCATTAAGCCACTGGGACCCGATCCAATGGCCAGCCCATGAATTCTAACTTCTGCCAATTCATGTGTTCGCGTTCAGCTTACAAAAATGACTTAGATAACTCATTCACCGAAGTATTTCTTAATCTTCGTCTACAAGTTCTATCACTAATCAGACAGATAATACAAAATGGATTATCCGTTATCACTATGCTTAGAATCTTAATTGATGACATTATATATCCTTTAGGTTAGCGGTTTGTAATGCTTCAATTTTAGGTAGGAAAATTTTAAATCTGGGAGTTATTACAAAGCAAAAGTTATAAAAATTTTTCATCGCGATAAATGAGGTCGTAATGAGCGGTTTTCAGGTATATATATGTATATAAGGTTATCTTTGAGGAAACTGTGAGGATTCCAGCAGCATAGATGACGAACTACACCACATCTGTGTTTCTTTTTTTTCTTTACGTCCTCAGTGGAACATAGGGCTTCAAGCTAGGGGCCTGAAGTTTCTGTAGCAGTGGTGTTTATTTTTTGAGATGGGATTGTTAGTCTCACGCCCAACCTTCGCTCCTTACCAGTCTTATTACTGGCTAAGCAAGGTTTGGGAGTTGGTGGACAGGGAATAGAACCCGGGACCACATGAAGCGTGTTTGGCGAGCATTCCACCGCTGTGCCACCAACGTGCCGTGTTTCCAGTTACTCCAATTCTATAATGAGAAGCGGCTTTATTAGGGTGGAGGATACTTTAGAAATATCCTATCAGTGACTGAGCAAATTGAAGCACCTATGCTTATGCTGAAGAGATAAATATATACTATGTCACAAAAATCAATACGTGTAAATTCCAAAAACTAATGACAGACAGCTTATTCCACAGGCCATGTTCATGTGACTTCTACCAATTTTGAAGTACGCTAATAACACTAAGCGACAATACAAACCTTGACAGTTGGAGGTACTATTTAACGGATGCTTTTATGAACAGAAATTTACCATACAGTTCAGTTAAATGCAATTAATCGTAACAGAATCTCTATGAACCCTAAATTTCTAAATATTTTTTTCCGTATATATCAGTAAAAAGTATAAGAAAGGGAAAATATGAGTGCCTTTTAGCAATGTATGAAAGTTTCCATTGACTTATGACTGAATTAAAAGAGAAAGCAAATCAAAATCTTTAGGTAACTGACTTAAAATATACTCTCACTCATATAGAAGAATATTTACCACTCAATGCAAAAATGAAATGCCGTTCCTCGAATGTCATATCTAGGTAAATAAAAATGTCAACATTCTGGCATTACTCACATTTAGCTATCTGTCATCGAAAAGAAAATTAGTTATGATGAACCACTCTCAAGTAAGTTATTATTTTATAATGAAACGGAATTCGACATTCAAGACAGGTCTAGATGAGGAGAAACCGAGTCGTTAGGTTATTCCCTTCATTGATCAACATGTATACACCTGTTTTCAGTGAAAGGAAAATGATGAAAATTCCATGCTGTATTATAAATACTGTTTTTGGAATAAAGCAGATTATTTTTACTATTATGAATCCTCTAAGAAATGAACAGGAAGAGCTAAAGTGTTTCTGTGGCGAGTGTTACTGATAACACTTATCAGTAGTATATATATAAAGAAATGCTCATCGGCATAAAAAAAACATCAAATAACAGAGAGATAGATTTGATTTCAGAGAAAGTAAATGATATAGCATTGTGGAGATACATGGGAGACGTGAAAGGAACACAAAGAAACACAATATGAAAGAAGGCCAGAAGTAGCATGATAAGAGAGATATATGGAAATGGTCCGTTGAGGATAAAGTGTACATAATTTGGCTATATAGATAGATATACCACAGCCAAGTCCTTTGTCTTCTATTGTTATAGTTCTGCATCTTCATGTTCACTAAACTGATGGTTACTGGGTCTGTTTCCCAAAAATTATCTGAAAATTGATGTTTAAAAGTATTTCTGACGAAAATGACTGATATGAATACTGATGTCATTGTAGCGTAAAATAATCTCATTCAAATCCCCAGAAATATATTGATTTTCTTGTGCGCGGAAAATAATCGAAATGTACAGACAGAACAACTGTCTCCCCTATGTGATGTTACCTTATTCACCGGTTATTTTTCACCTCAAATTACTTAGAAATCTATAACTTTTTAAATAACACACGAAGCCTAATGAATCATAAGAAAATATAAATAATCTGTGAAAGTGTTGAGAAGCTTAGTGAAAATGAAGTTCCATGACAAAGTAGACACATAATATGAAGTTGTCACAAAACTGATGAGAAAAGAATTCAACACGGACAATAATAAAGTCTGGCAAAGTTAAACTTTAAGCACCACTAACTACCAATCGGCGAATGACCTCGAACGCACCAATCATACATGCATTTAGGAAAAAAATGCATAAAAACTGTATAAAAGTGTTACAGAGGATACCTTCCTCTCATATGTGATAGAAGTAGCTTTCAGTTTTAGGTTGGTGTATCAACAAAGTATAATTCCATTGTGAGTAACATTTGTTTTGATAAAGTTTCATAGTTTGATTTGACACTAGTAACTAGTGTGATGAGTCTAGTCCTCTCTTTGGTGAAGACTGAATTCTATCAGTCAGGTTGTAATGTGGCCACCATTCTAGGTAGCTCGCCATCACGGTGTACATAGTTTGTGATGATATTAGGTGGTGGGTGGCGAGCTACCTAGAATGGTGGCCACATTACAACCTGACTGATAGAATTCAGTCTTCACCAAAGAGAGGACTAGACTCATCACACTAGTTACTAGTGTCAAATCAAAATATATCTACTACAGTCCTACAGGAGGTCAATCGCGAGCCTGAATAGCTCAGTGGTAACGTCTCTGACTGCAGCACTGGGTGACGCGGGTTCGAATCTCAGAAGGGACGTGAGTTCCTTCAAGGTTGCAGATACGCCTTGCTGACGAGTGCCAACTAGCACGAAACCTAGGTCCAAGGCTTCCTGCCGATTGCCTCCAACCACCCAAAGTTTCATAGTGTTATACAGTAATATTTACTGAGCAATAAATTCTGCTCGAAACTTCATCAGTAAATATCACTGTATAACACTGTGAGAATTTATCGAAATAAATTTTACCCACAGTGGAATTATACTCTACCACAGTGCACAAGTTCTATTCTCATATCAACAGAGTAATTTAACCACATTCTATGCATGTAATTATTTAGGTTTTCTAATCCTAACAATAATTCTAATCTTTCCTGAACCCAACTCTAACGTGAAAATATCCCTAAACTAATTGTTATCTAACTCGAATCAACCCTAATATCACCTTTATTAGGTTAACCATTACTTAGTCTTTCTCAAACCTAAGCTGAAACTTTCCAGATATCCCTTTTAATAACACAACACTTCGATGAGCATATTTTATTGATGGTGACAACATTATTTGCCAGGTTTCATTAATTTGCTCAGTGAGCGTTTCAAGGTCATTAGTGCAGTCGCACTCCATTGGTGGTTAGTGGTGCCTAAAGTTTAACTTGACCCGTTATGGTAAACAAATATCTTACGAATGTATTTGCCGGTTAACTGGATCTTGTAACCGACAATCTTGTAAAAAACAGACCATGGTTGACTTAAAGTTCATTGTCCTCATACAATAGGTACATATTTCAAATAATGCAAACTAATATCCTCAAATGCATGGTTAAAGTTTAAAAATGTAGAACTTTATTGAAATTTTAAAAACAGTACTTACCTTTATTAGTTTGTCTCCTTCGCCAACACCTGCTTGGTCAGCTATAGAATCAGGTATCACTTTGCCTACATATATCCCTGTTTTATTTCCTCCAATTAGAATTAAACCAATTTCACCTTTAATGTTGTTGTTGAAACGAAGTATCACTTTTCTTGTTTTCGGTGACTGCGATACATTAAATGCTCGTTTTGCATCTTCTTTCAGATAATCTAAGCAACCATTTTGTTCATCAAAAGGTGGTGTTTGAGTGTTAGATTTTTTCAACCATAACAAATTAGGATTCGATTCATGCACTGTGTTAGCTTTCATTTGTGAAACACTATAAATTTGTTTATGATTGCATTTACATTGATCGCCACAAATATTTGAAATATCGCCTTGAGAAATGACTGAACTTGGAGGACCATTGACACACACTGTACCACATCCACAAAATGCATTATTATAGCCTGTCACTGATAAAAGTTGAAATATATCAAATATTATATATATATGTATATATATATAGTTCGCGAACTTCACCAGCAGTAGTGTGTTTCTTAATCGCTGATTCATCTGAGTGAGTACTAGACTTCTAGAAATTTCTGGGCATTTTCGGTGTTACACATATATTTAAGATTCCTAAACTATCTCAATCAAATTGGTGTCCATGATTGTCTGCATGCATCAATTTAAAAGGAATACATATCGTGTATTTTCATAGCTTATTCATGTTCTTGGATTCTGATTCAAAGTGAACGCCCACCTGGACCGATGTAGTGCTTGTCACAGTTCATAGAATTTATTTTATAAATGGTATTGATCTTTTCCTCTTTTGCTGTTGGATCCTTTGGTCTGGACAATATTGAGTGAACTGATTATATTGATTTGGGTGCTATGTCTATTTAAAATGGTCTTAATATACTAGTCGTTATTTCAGAGATATTCCTTATATAAGTTAGTACGAATTTTCTTCTGGCAATTTAGGATGGTTTCTTATTGGTACATCGACGTGAGTTCAAACATTTTTTGATGAAATCGTATAGGTATTCATTCTTCTTGAAGCCAGTGGGTATTTCTGTTCTATTCTCTTTATTACTGGAGTGATACAGTGTGTTTCAACTCACTTAAATAATATCTTCATACAGTTTCTTTTGTGAATCATTGGGTTGTTGTTAATATAGTTGACTATTCTACATATGTTGATGACATGTTGATTTTCTGTATATTTGTGTTTCCGAATTCCCTGTGTTAGTTCCCTTGATTAAGACATCTAAGAATGGAATTTTGTTGTCTGATTCTTCTACTCTCGTGAATTTAATATCTTCAGATATGTCGGTGATTAATATGTGGACATAATTCTTCTAAACTGACTGTTGATTACTGTTTCGAAACATTTTAATCCACTTAGCTGCAAATCAATATCGATTAGCAAACCATTAAGAGTTATGCAGCACTTGACAGCTGTTTCATCCCAGTTTGGGACTTTACAGCGGTACTAACTCACGACCTCATGATCGACTGTGTAGGGCACTGTTAAATTAATGGGATAGGGTAGCTCACATTAGAAAAACTTATGTATAATGTCTTTTTTAAGTTTTTGATGCTTATTCAGATGGCGTCAACTCAAGATGAGGTCAGTCTTTCAAATACTAGCTCTCCCACACACTGAAAATCTATATTCTTGTTCCTAATGACCAAAGTTTACTAATAAGCGAGTGCTATTCATCTTATTTTCTCAATTTCTGAAACTTATACTAGTCTGCCAAAAGTGCTCCCTAGTCATTAAAAATGTTTAACATATCGTCATGTGTTTGACTTTACGAGGCATTTAAGCAATTTCATATATACAGTCTTGGGAATAACAATTATATATATAAATGATGCAGACAACGATGATGTTTCATCCTGTCATCAAGAATTCAAGCTGATTTTGTCAAGTGACATGAAATGGTGATTCCTATCCTTCTCCGGGACATCGACTTACATGTGTTCGGATTAATTAGTTATGTGATGATGTGAAGTTGAATCTCTCAATGGTGACATATGTGACTGAGGATTTGAAGCTCCTCGGAATGAATCAGTTCCTTCGAAGTTGCAGATACATCATGTTGATGAACGCCAATAAACACAAAACCAAGGACCAGGACTTCCTTATGATTGTCTCTAACCACCTTACATCAACTCAGAGTGCAATGGGATGGAAAGTGGCCTACCTTTGTGCCCAAATTGCAAACTTGACTGATAGAATTCAGTTAGGACTAAGAAACAGACACCTGACAATTTTCACTCCTTTATGATCAACTGATGTAATATAGAACTTATTTTACAAGTTATCTGACAAATTTATTTTTTTACTTAAATGAGCTTTATTATATTGGACTTTTAAAATCAGAACGGACAGCGATAATCTGACATCCATCTTTTTTGTCAAATTTTCTATGAGTATGGATGTGTAACTAAAATCTAACAATGTTGAAGCTTCATTGTTAACAGCAAAAGAGGACAAGATCAATATTATTTATAAAATAAATTGTATGAACTGTGACAAGCACTACATTGGTCCAGGTGGGCGTTTGCTTCGAATCAGAATCCAAGAACATGAATTAGCTGTGAAAAGACACGAAATGTATTCTTTTAAATTGATTCATGTAGACAATCATGGACACCAATTTGATTGGGATAATGTAGAAATCTTAAATATATGTGTAACACCGAAAATGTCGGGGAATTTCTAGAAGTCTGGTACTCACTCAGATGAATCAGCGATTAACAAACACATTACTATGGATCAAATTTATCAACTAATAAAAAATAAATCACATGACAAGAAAGTTCAAATTCGAGGTTAATAAAGATGATTAGTATAAACAGACAACCAATCATAGCAACGGTTGTCAGAAGATATAAACGATTATATAATTCATGAAGAATTCAAACAATTTCACTTCATATGGAAGCCGGCACTGAAGATAATGTCTAGAAGGACAATGAAAGCCTCGTAATCAAATCTATGAGTTCAGGGAATGCATGCCCTTGTGAAGGCAGCAACCTTTTTTCTGGAGGAAACGAGTATGAGTATTTTTCCCCAATTTAACCGCTCAGCATCACTGATGAGTTAACAATAATCCGATTTTAAGGCATCGTTGAAACATTTGTACTAGGTGTTAAAATGTAAGTGGAAGAATGGAGCGTTTCCATCCAACAAGTGGAAAATTCAAAAGTCTGTTGCATGCGGCCTGGTCAAATTACCCAACTATTTTGATTTTAATACAGTCCCACACATCATCCTTTTATGCCTTTCTTGCGGTTTCAATCATGTAACTGCGCCCTCAGATCATAACATGTACCCACTCGCACTACTGACTAGGCTGCACTCTACTACTGTGCACTTCTCGAAGGAAAAGTAGGAGAAATATACTAAAGGACTGGATCTCGCCTCAGATCAAACCACAGTGCTTCATCTGATATGCAGTTGGTTACTACCCTACTCAAGTTTTCTGCTATAATATGAGCCAGAAATTTCGTGTTGTGGTTGAACACACCACATTAAATGAGGTATTATCGTAAACGTTGTTTCTTAGGAAAACATTTTTCAAAATTTTCAGCCGTGAATATCACTTGCCTGAGCTACACATCTCTATGACTGATGTATGTTGTTGGTCGAGTGTCTTTATCATATGTGTGTTTTCTGTGTTTACACAAAGTCCTCTCTTCGCCACCTCCTTGCATTTATGATTTGGTGTTAAATAAAATATGCTATCATCTATATTCTCTTTTTTTCTAAACCTTGAATTCTTGTTTTATTTGATACATTTTATAAAAATCTGCAATTTGTGTTGCATACAAATATACAACCAACAAAAACATGGATTTATTATAAGAGTATTATTTTGCTTATTCAACTGTGTTGTAGCATACATTTCTATTCAACTAATAATCAAGCCCACCTGGTTACATCGTCCTCAATCCCATATTAATGTGAAACAATAAAATCATGTCAATTAAATCCAATCAATCACTTAAATAGTGAGATGACTAGCGAACCCTAACGCATAATCCACTTGATTGTTATACCTTTTCGAATTTCAGAGGGAATGTGAATTTTCTGAGTGTCAAGAAGTATGAAACCATGATCAAGTCAGTCCTCCTAGGAGATGATTATTAATGCCAAATAACTATAAATATCTTGCGTCCGTGGTTCAGTAGTAAAATGCTGTCCAACCACACACACACACATGATCAAGGGTCCGGTCCTCGGCCGATGCATTCCTAAACCCCTCAGAGCCGATAGTAAGCCGGGTGTAGAGGGGAGGTTGGGCTTGAGGTTAGCAACCTCATCCCGCAAAAGACAAGGCCATCACTACTACGACTTCAGCGCCTGAAGCTTGAGGCCCTATGTTCCACTAGGAGCGCAAAGGAATTAAATAAATAATAATGAGAATGTAAAATATCCCAGTACTAAAATATGTCGCCTGCTTTCTCCAAAAGAATCTAATAAAAAACGACTTAAATTAAGTCGAAAGTCACGTGGTCTCTACCTGGGTACATGACATGCACAGTGAGAGAGAGTTAATGCGTACCGCTATATACTACTCATATTAGTCAATCAGTAGAATATAGCCCTATGCATTCATTTTTGCTTTCTTGATTGTCACTCACCACATATTATTATCTGAATGACTTCAGTTTCTAAAGTAAACTACGGTGAAATTTCATCTCAAAGTGTGCAAGCTGTGAGTCGAACTGAAAATTTTATTTAGATTGAGTTAATGTTGCAGTATATTTCATAAAATTTGCATATCTTGACTAAAGGTCAAAACTACTATGTTTACCTTCACAACTTTTGCAGCGTTGTCCAAAATTCTGATAGATATGATTATCAATCTGATTTGTTCGTCCCAAATGTTTCATTGCTGTTTTATCTTCACAGGCACTATGTGAAGGGAACATTGGAACCATTGACTGATGATGACTTAGCAAACCGGAAAGATCAGCTGGAACACTCGATGAATTTACTAACGGCATTGTATCCATATTATGATATATGTGATTTTGTTTTAAATCAGGTTCTCTAGCTACCAGAAGTACAGTTTCTTGACGACGTAACATATTCGCAGTGTCAATAAGACTTAAATGAGCAGCATTAATCCCATTAAGCGTTACAATTCGATCACCGCGTTTCAGACCAGCTCGAGCTCCCATGCTATTTTCATCGACAGAAGCTATGGTTAAACGACTCAAAAGCTCTACACCAAGGCCTAGTGAATAACAAAAGATGATATAATGTTTTTACAGAAGAAAATAACAGAAAAATGCTTTTAGATGAAAAATTTCTCTATAACTAATAATAACAATCGATTGTACTTAATATAGTCAAGTTGTAACACTTAGAACCAGAGGTTGCATCTTAAACTGTATACTTCTTCCATTAGCTCTGGTTATTCAACTTATTAAACTGAAATTCGTGAAAGTGGTTATTACATGTCCAGATATATATATTTTTTGTACAACTGTCCGCTTCACTTAGAATCTGATACAGTCCCAGTTCAAAACGTTTTATTGTCATGAAGATCACTTTACTGTGTTATGAATACATTGCGCTACTTAAATTTTAGAAAAAAATTACTTCATATGGTAGATTTATAAATTTAAAAACAGAAAAACTCCTTTCCAACTTCAGCTAATTTGCAGTTTTTGTCAACTTTTTGGCTTAAAGGGTTCAACTGCTTTCCATTGACCTATATTAATTTATCACTAATATGCAACTGTTTTCATGTGGAATTTCTAGATATTATAATGGAAAATCTCGACGGAAGTATTCTGTAAAGCGAAGATTACAACATACTACTGACATTAATTAGAAGCAGTATCGTAAGACAGTTCGGCAGAATGTTAAATTTATAGGCCGTTAGATCTCTGTTGGGGTGCTACATTATCGAAATGCTGTGCAAATTGGGTGACATTCCTGATAAATTTGTTAGCAAGTACTGCTGGGAATTCTTGGACTATGGTAAAAACATCATGTGTTTAGCATGAACCTAAGGGTCTTGGGTGCGTACTGATGAAGAGTCCCAAAATGGAATCGAATGAAACAGATATTTAGTACTCCCTGGTTTTACATAGTTCTCTCTAACAAAGTCACTTCACCATTTAACTTTGAACCAATTAAATACCTGAAATCCAACACTTGAAGAACCTAATATTTCAAATGTTTATTTTTCAGCAGTCAGTTTCTAAGACGGCGTTTAGGAGGACTTTGAATTATTCAGAATCAGACGTCTTATGCATGTCTCTATGCCATTCATACATATGCGATTACGCGTGGTTTAGAATTTGGACACGTTTATTCCCATGTATTTATATAGCCTTGTAAAATGTTTTACAGTATTAGCTGAAAATATAACATATGCATTAGTACTAGATTAGTGAACAAGATAGAAGCGTGAATTGACGTCTTATGCGCTTACAGTTAGCAACCATCCTGTCTAACTTGTTGTTAAATCATAAATATTGTAATTTCAAAACTGGTATTTAGAACAGAAACTAATTCTCATTGAAGCAAAATATGTTCTTTGTTTTATCTGATGATGAAATTATTTTTAATAAGTGTTGTTTCGCGGGGATTTGATTGGTTACAGGATTTCATCATGAGCTGACATTGGTTAGAGAACAACTAGAAGACCTGGGAGTGCTGGACAGCTGTTTCGTCGCAGCTTGGGACAATTCAACCATATGCATCCACGGGGGGTTCTAGCCAAAGACCTCTCGGTTACAAGGCGAGCTCGTAGACCATTAAGCCACTGAGACTCAACCCAATGGCTCATCATTCCCAACGAGTTCGTCTTGTAACCGGAAAGTCTTGGGTTCGAACCCTGGTGGGTGCGCGAGGTCGAATAGTGCCAAACTACGACGAAAAAGTTGTCCAGTACTCCCAGGTTTTCCAGTTTTTCTTTAACCGATGTCAGGTGAAGATGAAATCCTGTAATCAGTCAATTCCCCGCAAACCAATACTTGAATTTCCCAGATTTTTCGAGAAATCTTTCTGCCTGTGGTTTTCACACTTATAAACTCAAAACATTTGATATTTGGTAAAGTAAAATTATGCTAAAATAATCAATAATATAAATACGTAATACTTACTTTCTCCTGTGTCTCTTCTTTTAAGATATACTTCCACAAGTTTCGGACATTTCCTTGTGAAATATTCCGTGGACTGATGGCAATTATTCCATAAAGCGGTGTCACTACGATATTTCATTGTATGAATGTCATAGTTTTGAGAAGTTGATGCACAATACTCAGAGTGAGATGGTCTTCTTAACAACGAAGAGCTTAATATAGAAGTAAATTGTACGAAAATGTCCGAAATTGTTCATAAAGACTTGTGAGTAAATATGTTTAAGAAAATTTCAGTAGAGTCTTAATTCTAACCTTACTTAATTGCATTTATGTCATTTCGTCTCTTCAATTTGGCGTAGAAAGCAGGGACCTTTTGTATCATATTGTGGGGTAATGTTTTTATAGTGACATCAAACTCAACTTAGTTTGGTATGCAAACTTCATGTTCTCGCGCATTATGTATATGCTCTAAATTAAAAACACATCTTGTTGTTCACTTAGTCAATAATACAATGTTATTATTGTTAGTTTCCGCTTATTTACTATGTAACCAAAGATAGTGAGGTAATCTAATAGATACGGAATCAGTTTTTTATATTGGTTTAAGTAGAGGTCCAGTTGAAAGAAAGAAATTTACGTACACACAAACAAATACATCGAATTTCCTGACAGACATTGAGATACTTTTTGAAAGCATAAATTCAGGTACCTTGAGTAATTAACTCTCCAATCTGATAAATAATTTTTATACAACCACAGTTAACCCGTGGGTTGTTGTCTATAAATGCGATGATATTCTTTCACAGGGTTCTCTGTCTTCCTATTACATAACATACACTGCTGAAATATATATATATAGAAAGCTATCTCTAGCGGTTAGTCATCTTACGGAAGGAGAAAAGGATTCAGAATTATGCATAACGCCAAACTTTTCTATGATATGCCAAAACATTTAATCACTCTTGTTTGCCAGAGGAAAATTTTAATTTAGTTTAAAAAACTTAGTATACATTTTTTGGATTATTAAAGGAATAATAGAGTGTAATTTGGAGCACATATGCTATAAAGTATCAAAAGTAATGACTAAGTATGACATATGAACGGTTAGTTATGTTGATCTTAATTACACCAATATTGCCGGATCGGTTTGCACTATTTTCAGAGCTTCAGATGAAGTAATTTAGTATGTACTTAATCAATGGGGAAGATTTAGAAGACCACAAGTAGTTAGATGTTTAAAATCTGTGCGGCTTTTATAACTATAATGAATATTTCATTCGCGAATCCCCCCAAGTGAGTTCGAGCGAAGCGATAAGCATACATGACTATGTTTCACACCCATGCAGCAGAACAGGTTCACATCCTTATAGGAGAGCCGAACCTAATGTGCAGTAGGATAACGCCTGGATTTTGGTGAAAAATAAACTTATCCTACAGTCGAACTAGATGAAACTTCCTGCATAAGAAGGATTACTGACATGTTCAGCTAACCCATCATCAGTAATGACATTGTATTATGAATGTTGATCAATCACACGTGTCAACAATATTATTGTCCTGGTTAAATTTAAAACGGTATTACTGTGAACTAAGTAATCTAAAGAATAATCTATTCGGAAAAATTTTAACGCTATAGATGAAAATGCTCTAATTAAACAAATTTAGGGTCAAAGTGCATGATGTATACTCTACTTGGTGACATTGTGGCTCTTCAACTAAATAAAAATATTCACTACTCTAATTTTGTAGTTACGAATGTATGAACAAATAAATATCCCTGTCTGGTCATAGTAAAACAAACATACTACATATACTATCTTCCCTTCCGGGAAAGTAGTCCGACAGGCTGTAAATTTCATGAATGTATGGCAAAACAATGAGAAAATCCAAAAATCGTCGCCGATTTTGTGTATAAATGATGACAGTATGAAAGTAATAAAATAAATACGAGACCAGGAGAGTTAATATGGTGGAATAATGACTCTTTTATCCAGAAAGTGGACCCGTTATAGTGATCATGAGAGAGACAACGATTGAATGTACTTTTTAGGACATTGCATTAGCTTGGGATTTTTGGCTATTTTGTTTGCCAGTTCCATTTTAATGTCCTAACTTCACTCCGTGTGACAGGCTTAATAGAAGCCAGTATATAATTTTGTATGATTTCTTCTCATTGGGGTTATGAGAGTATCACTTCAGTGTATGTGAGTTGGAAGATTAATAATTTGTATTATGGAGAATATTTGTAGGTCGGGTTGATGTTTCGGTGTAGTTGTGTCCTCTTAGATGGATGGCTGAGAAACTTTCATTGCCTTGCTAGGCGAAATCTTCAGCGCATACTTGAATCTCAAGTTGCTGCAGTTACCTTTATATAGAAATTCCATTTTCTGTTCCATTTTTAATTTTTGTATATACCGCTCAAGGGATATGCAAAACGAGATCCTCAAATATAATCCGTAAATTTAAGAAATGCACTGTCACGGCAGACTGCAACTTACCAATAAAAGTTATTCTGAAACTTAGGCACAAAGAGATTACCTTGCTTGTTTATATAATCGAAGAGATTACAAACTCCTCGATGCATAAATCCTGTCATGTAAAGAGATAGCTTCTGCTGTCAAAGTCTAGATGCAGCTACTTATATAATTTACTTATTTTAAAAGCTCTGAACAGCATTTCATTTTTGTTTACTCTGATAACCTGTTGTAAAGCCTACAATTATACCAATCACCTTTGAATTATTTGGTTTTAAGCCTTTGGTACAGAGCTTTGAGTGACTTTCATGCACTTCATTGGGATATTAAAATAAAATCTGAAAACTTGTATAACTGTTGTGGATTTGGTTTACTTCCGATCAGTGATTGCAAAGTCACATACTAGTCAGTATACCTCTAGGCACACGTTTTAGCTGTATCGAGATGATGCAGAAGATTTCAACTGGTGAAAAAAAGACCGGTTTTCTAATAAAATGTGAACTTGAAAGTTTGGTTATAGACATTTTGTGCAATATTGTGATATGTAGTCGTACTGGACCACATGGAAAGTATTTGAAACTGTGATATACTCTATAATATGGCAAAGAGAAACGATTCTGATCTCATGTGGATATATAGTCGCTGACAGAATGTGACTCGTCCATTTTAAGGTCCAGTGGCTTGAAAATTTGTATTTTACGAAAATGACGTATGATTTTAACTTCTTAATCGAGTTAATTTTCATATATACATAAAAAGAACTCAAATACGAAGCAACGTGAAACGAAGTGAAAAATAATGGGTATTAGTTTAATTATTTTTTAGTAACTCACTTATGACGACTCATATTGTCATTCACAAAATCAGAAGCCTTGTCGCAGAATTCTGTATGCTCCTTGTGCCTTATCAGTCGTAATTCTACCTCTTCACCGCATTCTCGTAAAATCTTTATTGCCTCCGAGTACTTCATTCCACACAAACTATGTCCATTGACACCCACCAACTCATCGTCCTTACTGAATGGACCTTCAGGAGTCAATAAAGTAACCTACCTAACTTTGTCATAGGCTGGACCCCCTTTAATGACATCCGAAACTATAAATTTTGTCGACGAATCTGTAGAATCGTGAATACCAGAAATGCCTAGGCCAAGACCATAGGCTGGTGATCTAATTATTGTAACGTCATAAAATGTAGGATGAACGACCATTATATCCAGAGAAATTTTTCCCTTTAATGTGATAACTATACACGGCTTTTATTGCCAATGAAATTAAATGAACCCAAACTTTTAAAATCGTTGTAATCAAATAACAAACATCAAACAAGCGTCAGTTTAGAGACCTATAAATTTGAAGCACTCAAACAAAGAGTTGGTTGCAGATTTTGCCTCACCAACAAGAAAGCTAATACATTGATTTGTAATGATAAATCACTTAACTTTTAGTGAATTAATTTATTTTCATCGGCAGTCTAAAAAGAATCACCTTGAAATATTTAAAGTAAGAATTCAGTACATCAGTTTAATTGGTGCTAGCAGATTTGTCAATCCTGCAATATTTTCGCCTATTGCAGCATAAATTCCATTGAGCGTAGCAGCACCTTATTATCCTGGGCGAAACATAATAACTATTTTAGTATATTCAGTGATTACTGGTAAAATATGTGTTTACAAAACAAATTTACTGAGTTAATCAAAGTAGGTCAATGATTAAGTGCTGCACAAATGTCCTGTTTTAGTATTACTAGACAAGTGTATCTGACCGGCGAGTCCTTGTGTTTTCAATCCTCTGATGTACTGAGATTACGGTATACCAGCATAATGGCCGATTGGAGTCATAGTGGCATACAATTTACTTGCAACCTGATGAACCCCGTTAAACAGAGAGGAAATAGTGCGCAAGACAGTTTGTAAGGTCAGTCTAAAGTGTAATGCACACGATGAAGCAATTTAAACAGCAATCTTTGAGGTAATGAAATCCATTGTAACTGTCTTTGACAGTACAAGTGTTTGCTCAGACAAATGTTTTCTGGCTTCAGAATCAAAGTTCACGCTACTTAGTAGTGTCACTTTCAGGAGAATAAGGAGAGTAAAAAGTACAATATATAAGAAAGAACAGCTTTATAAGTCTGCAGCTGACTACTTGAAATGCAGCTACCACTGTTAGTAGTAACTAATGTCGGAACGAATTCGCTACTAAATTCGGAGGAAAATATGAAACAATATATTAAAAAATATAGTTATTTAAGTGGTTTTTACATAATGGAATGACGAGACTTCTGAGAAGCCTGTCAGGCTATACTAAAGACAATGAAAATTTCGAACCACTGGGCTGACGCCCCCAGTGGCGTTTTCGCAATGCGTATGAGGGTCCGCAAATGTTTGGTATTAACCCAGGATTTTACATTGCTCAGATTTCTGTATCAAGCGTTATTTTCTGATATAAGTGCTGCAAATGGAACACGGTTTAGGTACACTATGCCGCCGATATATGGACGTCAGAAAAGTTTTTCAATGCAAGATTTCATTTAAAAAGCATCAAAACTTATGACTTGTCATTAAACCGCTATGCCAACAGATTCAGACGCTACAGTTAGCGGTTATACGCAATAGAGCCACTCCTAGTTTCAGCCTTGATTGAGCGCTGATTCGAGGAAAGTTCTGCTGTCACTCTTGAGTTTCCCGTTGTCTCTTAAGTTCGTCATGCTTTCTTTCACCATTTGGCTAGCACAAATCACTGAATAGGTTATCTAAGACAGCTGAAATATTGTCGAGTTTTGAGCGAACGTATTCCCTAACAGCCCCCAGTCACACTCACTGGATCACATATTGCCTTTTATTACTACTTCAGTTATTACCAGTTGCCGAATAAATCATTGCAGCTACTCTTGCAAGTGAGACTGTTAACCGTTAATTTTCTCTGGAAGACTCAACACTAATCTGCAGTATTAATATACTTTACTCATATCCAAGAAATTGGTGGTCAGTACAGTATTCGGCATGCGATTCTGAGACCTACTTTTACAGACGGGTGGAATTGTTATGGCTATCTGTTTGTTGGTGATCCTGAGTGTTCTGTGAACTCCTGCGAGCACGAGAGTGTCATTCTAGTCAGTCAAGTTCAGTTGTAATGTGAGATGCGACATATGGTAACTGAAGTTTTTGTTATCTTCAGGCCGGTTAGAAAATCTCGTCCGTAAACTACATCAGGCGTGACCTTCTATCATAGGTACTCTTGCCAGAAATAGCCGCAAAGTCTTCAGATTTACATGCATATCTTTGTCGGGTAAATTAGGAAAAGACCCCACTTCTTGCACCCGAAACTCTAATTTGCAGCCATTGATAAGGACTGTGCATATGTCCTGAACATCCTGTACCAGCACAATGCTCTCCAATATTTTGAGAAGAAGTGATCAGTTCTGTATCTTAAAGAAAAGAAATATTCCCAGAAGCCTGACAACTCAAGCGATGTTATTTCAAATTACTTTGGGTATGATTCTTTGACTGAAATTTGAATGTTCTTTTGTTGATAGTGATTTTCAGCTTAAGAAACATTGCGGCTTATATGTATATCCTATTTCATTTCTGTGGTTCAGGATGAGGAAGAACGACTAAAGGTCCATGAATAGTAATCAGGGATTGTGCACTCGAACATCACAATAAGCGAAGTATAGACGAACTATTGTTCAGCTATATTTTTACCGATGTTCATTTTGATTTAATGATGTTTGACTTAACTGTCTCCAGATCAAAATGGGGCTAATACACAAGCTTCGGAACTATAAATAGTTTGAGGATAATTCCTACTAGAAGCATCTGTCTAAGAGACAAGTAATTAAAACGTCTCGAAGTATTAAAAGCTCATTTGCTTGATGGCTTCAACTGAAATTTCTGTGTGGCTGAGTTATTCTTGGTCATATTAGTGGCTACCTAACGAACTTTAACTTTAAGGTAAGGCCATCGTTGATACCACCTGAAAAATGAAGCACGGATATTACACCCACTTCTATGCAAGGACATTCAGGTGGGTGAAATAGTGTGAGATTGCTAGTAAACTGGTCCACATAGCGATAAAGCAGACATGCTTATGTCCTCATTGCACTTCCTTAGACTTCAGCCGTAGAAGTTAATAACATGATGGCTTGGTATGAGGCTATCAAACCTCACTGGTATCCACGAACTCTCTCAGACCTTCCATCACAGGCTATGACATTAGGTATTATCGCATCACTATATGTGACGTGTACACATATTCAGGTGTACTTACAAGTATAAATCACAATCAAAACTCGATTTACATGTAGTAGCGGAAAACGAGGCAATTACGCTGACTGAACGACTTCGAGCTCATTACCAATAGGCCTCAACTGGAGATGACGATCGCGAATGCCGTGTGGCCATACGTCGTGCTATAGATGAGCTTTAGACACATTACATGCGGACTATCTAGTTTGACCTACTTAACCTGATGACCATGTGGTGCAGCTTAAAGAAAATAGCCAGAAACCATTTGTTGTAATTTTATTAGTGTCTGCCGTACTTTTGTCACATCTGGGTTTTTAAGCATGCTGTGCGCCATATCATAACTCTCTACTATTAACTGTAGTGACCTGTCTATTAACATGTCCACCCTTTTGGACCTCAATATCACTCCTGTATTACGAATGACGATTATATGAAAATCTATTTTTACCATATTTTCCGAGGCAGTTCAGTTGAAAAAGGCTGGTTCCCTGTTAGACGCTAAAGTAGTCATACAGAAAAATATATACAAGTAAAGTATTTCACACGTGTCTATGTTGCCCAACGGTAGCATTAATTGCGCAAATAAAATATTCTTATGCATCAGCAATCACAGGTGGCGCTCGAAGTGATAAATATGCCAAAGTAAACTTTAAGGGAACAAGTGTTCACTCAACACTTACAATTTTCAACGGCATTATATGCAACCAGCACATATATTAATGTATATATTTACATATAAATATATATATATACATTAATGTATTCAACATTCATGGCAAGAAAAGGAATCTGTACAAAGGTATCCCATATGATGTGTTTCGTGAGTTTTCATGGTGAGGGCGAAGGATGGTGGCATAAATCTGGTAAAAAATACATTATAATCAAATTCGCTATGTCTGGGGCAAAAAATATATACACCAAAGCAGGACACTAAAATGGTTCAGGGGAAATTGAAAATACAGGTACAAGAAATAAAAGTCAAATAGGAGGAAGGGAAAGCGAAATACACGTGCATATTCCTAGTGGAATAAAAGCTAAGAAAATCGTATCATTTTCGGTGCGTTCCTAGATATACAGGAAGTAGTGGTTGGGTTAAGTTGTGGATTAAAAAGCTCAGCGGTGTAAGGTCAACCCATCAACATGCTGTTTTGCATACCGTTAGGTATCTTGTAGTTGTTTTTATTTTGAGAGGATTTCCTCGCATCAAGTGTGGCTTTGTTGACACACTTACTCTCAGCGGGCATATTGAATACAAAGTATTCTTCCCCGTCATTAGGCGCAATCCTGCGAAATTTGTTCACTGTAGTGAGGTTACTACGTTTAGGTGACAACTTGGGGTGGTACTAGATATTTTAATATGTTTCAGTGAAGCTTTGCTCACAGGGATAGTGATAACTAAATTAGTTCCTGATTCCATTGGCAGGCATAGTCGCTGTGCAGTGCACTGAATGATACTATTAGTGCTAGGTGACTGCTGAGGTACACGATCCACTTTCGGTGGATTCAATCCAGAGGAGGTGACCAAATTATTGCTATGCATTGTTCTGCGCTGACATGGTGTTTTGTCCTGAGCTATGATCACATACTTCTTACTGCTATTTGGTCTTAAATGATCTTGAAACTTGTTGAACTTACTATCATGAAGGGAATCACCGAATCTAAAAATTATGTGACGGTTAGACAGGGCCGACATTTTATAAAGTAGTTTGCCTTCACATGGCACAATAGCCATGTTGCGACAGTTCGGGATTTTGTATTTTTCAGCCTTTAGAGGTATTTAGTCTGGGATACTGTTAATTATAGACTGATGAGAAGAGGTTATACGCTTCATCACTTCGACAGCCAAGCAGCCAATGTGATTTTCTGCTTTATTAAGATTTCCCAGAGGAATTTTAGGATGTTTTTTTAACAGGCGGGCTTTTGGGTCAAAATCCGCATTCTTGTTTTGAGTTACATCCAGTAGAGACTTAACCTGGTCAATATCAGAACGGTTTTCCGTGATATTTGAGATTGGTGGTATCATGCAATCAAATTGATCTGGTTTTTTCCGAAGTTAATTTACTTGCCTACACTTACCTTTCACAAAGCAACTTAACTTACAGAAATTAGAGTTCCCTAGCAGAATAAACTTCAACTCTATCAAAGGAGTCAGTACTGCATTGGAGTCATTTCGAACGCCAGTAGGTATTACTGTATTTGAAGGCGGTTGTGCAATTATAACCACACAGACACTAAATAAATCAAATATAATTATAAGAAAAGTAATTGAGAAATGCATACCATCATTATAAGGATTGTATTTCAGTAAAGAATAAATAAAGATGCCAAAAATTTCGATAGTGCCGATAAGTATTAGTGGATAATCGTCCACAATAAGCGCAATTCACTTCTGATGGTACCTTGCGATTACACTGCTGACGAACTTATTCAAATATACTGCTCACCTTAGACTAATATATCATCTGGCTATAAATCAAGAATAAGATTCGATACCGTACACAGCAAAGTTATACAGGAAAATTGACTTCAAGCGTTATTTTCTCCCATGTAATTGTGATCCATCCAACATAGACTTCGGTTTATTTTTAATGTGAAGACAATATCCCAATATTCCTAATGTACTACACCGACTGACTAGTTAGCACATTGTTCCCACAAACTGAAATCAAAAGGAACAGCAACCATGGATCAAACAGCGTCAATTAAATAGTGCTTATCCATGCCGGTGTTCCTACATAGACAGGAATAAATGTATCATTATTAATACCTGGCGAAAACAAACTTTCAAAAGCTCCATCTCAGCCAGGTCACTTCATAGCAAAATGAAGTTGTAACGTGTAGGTGGTGGATTACATTGCATAGAGGTTACTCATGTTGTCCACTGAGACAGCTGTAAAGATGCAGTATAACAATAAATGACATACGTGGCAAAGCAAAGCTGAGAGAGAGCCTTCGAAATTCTGGAGTAGCGTATTTCAGAAAAAAACTAGTTCAAAAACCATTCGACCCCCTAGTTTCGGAACTCGGTAGCTAGAAAGACGGAAATTTAATAGTTTTGAAGTTAACTCAAATGTGAAAGCGACCATGAATTAGAATATGAACAACTCGAAAAATGTTTATCTCCTTTTTAATGTAAAACTAAGTCCAAACAAATAAAGGGAATCGGCTTTAATGCAGATCGGAGTAGTTCTATCTGAATGAATATAGGCAAAGCAGTGGGAAATTTTGAAAATGAACATGGTAGTAGAAAGTCCTTTGAAGACTCATATTTTGCATAGTGAATACGTGAGTCGGTAGCACAGCACATGACGCTTGTCGACCATGCACATGGTCCAAGGTTCGATCCCCGGCCGGCGCTCATCTGATATCAATGGTCGGCCTGCAGAATTTGGGCTACCGATATCACATACTGGAAATTCCATACCTGTATTTAAAATACGGTGTGGAATCAAGCCATTAAAAAATTAAAAAATATCGTAATGAGTGAGAAGTGCCGGGTGTTTCCACTAATGAAGCCCAGTATTATTGTTACTATTGTTCCCATGGGTTCCTAGTGGAACATAGGGCTGCAACTACATGTCTCCACTTGTTTCTGTCTTCTGCTGTACTTTTCACTTCCATCCATGTTAGTCCATACTGTTTCAGCTCCTCTTCACACGATCTCCTCCATGTCACCCTTGTACCGACGAACCACTCGCCGCTTCCCTTTCAAGTCCCACTCGAGCACTGGCCTGATGCGCGATGTCACCCAGAGGCCTCCTCAGCGAGTGTCCAATCCATCTCCACTTTCTCCTGCATATTTGTTGGGCGATTGGTTCTTGTTTTGTTTGTTCCCATAGTTTCTTGTTGGTGATTCTTTCCGACCATCTGATCTTCAGTATAGATTGAAGACAGCTGTTGATAAAGGTCTGCAACAGGCTGTTGGAAATATTCTCTGTGACCCGCCGCCAAGTTTCTGATCCGTATAGCGAAACTGGCTTGACGTTTGTATTGAAAGCCCAGTAAAGTGTAAACTATTTGTCTGGATTCAGTCTGTGCTGTTCAGCTCCAATTAAAGAAATGCAATTTACTTTTGGATTCAGCAGTGACGTTTACCTATAGAGAAGAGAACAAATGTTTGTTTGAATGCTCTAACCATTGGTTATATTTGAAAATTCCCCTCGAAAGCGCTCTATTGGATTTAAACAGGACCTGGAAATTAAGCGCGTTCCTGGGACAAATGTAGGTTTTGCTTTAAGAGTTTTATGCTAAAGTCTCTGTTTTTTATTCCGATGTTTAAGGCTGGGGAGATATTTCCCTTATGAGTTAAGGGTGATCCATAAGTTTGGTTTTAATCCTAAGATTTGGGTTAGTAGTTATGGTTAGTGGTTTGACTTGGTTTCAAATTCAGCTAATGAAGGGTAGTAGGCTCTTTTGGTCTGTGTTAATCCTTGTAGTAGGTAACTTTGCAGGGATTTAACTGGTCTTCGAAAGCGTCCACCGATGGAACAGGTACTACCTTGTCGGACAATGAGTCCCAGTCGTTGACCACTCAACGTGCGAATCTACAGTCGTTTATTTTACTCATCCGCGGTCTGGATTTTTCATTGTGTTAACTCCTTAGAAGTTTTCTAGAAGGAGAGGAATATTAGAAGGGTATTCAGGTTTGTAATTAGGTTAATGGTGAGGGCTTTTGTTGAGGTGTGAAAATTGCTTATTGCTGTTATTATAAACTGTTTTTTTTCTTGCTTGTTTTCACTTTGCTTGACTTTGTAAATGTAGTCGCAACTATTGTTTATCCTTATCAGTTGATGAAATTGTGAGCATACCTCTGAATTTATCAAGTGTTGTATTGTAATATCAATGAGGTTCATGTTTTCATTTGTGAGGTAAGTAGTTGGTGACATTTGGTGTGGCAAGAGCTGGACATAGCTGATTGCTGATAATAGCAATTGGGTAGTTGTTCTCTGATATGTAATTCACCGCATGCCTAACGCATCCTGATTCACTACGAATCTGCTGTGATATGCAGAATGTATGCATTTTGAGGCAGAACTGGATTTTGTCCCAGTCTGTCTGAAAGGTTTTTTAGAATCAAAATAAATGGGCCGCTCAGTATAGTGTTAGTGAAGCCTTTTCCGTTCCGTTCTATTCTCCCTTTGAATTCATTTTCGAGTGGTACAGAGATAAGATTGCTTATGAATAAAGATTAACGGAGACAGTTGCACTGGCACCCGGAATCTAGAAGTCTTGTGTGCACATGAGTGTTTATGAAGTCGGCAATGCTACAGTATGAGAAAGCGCACAATTTATTTCACACTGACCTCGCCATAGTCAATTTATTTGACATGTATCCTATGGTTTATCATTTTCATTTGTGTTGACACATTAGATTACTTCTTAAGCATCTGGAGGTTAGTATGCTTACTTCAAACCGGTAGTTTTACAAGTCTTCACTCAAAGAGGATACGTGAGTGCATTTTAGGAGTTCGTGGAGTACTACTATTAAACTGGCAACGACCGTTGTTCTTCAGGTTTCTTCCCAGTTAACTATCTCTCCGTGGACAGCTTAACCTTCACACAGTAAACGTTAACTAACGGCTGCGAAAGGTTCAGCTGTAGATTCTTGTCCTTCTGAGACACTTGTTCGTCCTCTAGACACGCAAAGTATGTATTTCAACAACCGAACAGATGTAGGAAACAAAAACTCCGAAGCTGTCACTTGTTCAGATGTTTGATAACAGGTTTGTACTTTGGTAAGAGACGGCTTCACATCATTTTTATCCTGTAGAGGCTTTGTGTCGCATTCAGTAAAATGTGTGGTGATGATTAGCGGATCCCTTTAGAATTCGGCAATTTCTTAAAAACTGATTGAGCCAAATTGACTGATCCTGGCGGATTCTGAACATGTTAAGTTGAAGCTGTTCTAGGACAAAAATTGCAACAAATGCCAATATCCGTGGATATTAGACGCTTAAAAAGTGGAAAAGGAACCAGCAGTATGTAATGTCAGCTATTCAGACTCATAAGAGAAATTGGCTAATCTGCTGTGGCTGCACAGATGGTGACGTATAACGGTTATGGATTTTTAACTAAACCAAGTAGTAGGTAATATGTAAGGATTTGATGTAGTTGCATCGAACTGGTTTTTAAAAAGACAAATCTTCCTTTGTTACAGCGTAATATGTTTCATCAACGTAGTATCTAAGATTCTAAGTAACACAGTCAGACAAGAATCGGGTAGAGATTAAGAAAAATAAACCAATAAATATAGTGCTGTTTGGTCTTGAAGGGAGTGTTGAGAAAGTAAAAGCATTAGCCAGAACACTGCACCATGTAAGAGTTCATGGGAAGTTATCGTTCTAAATAAATGATTTATCAGCTTGAAGTTTTCGCAAAGTGCATTTGTTGGAGTTGAAAAAAAGTAGAGAACTGCAATGGGTGTAGGAAAGGAAAGATAAATATATTAATAAAGACTTTCATAATCCTATTGGTAACAAGGAGTAAATACGTCTCTGTCAACAACTGCGAAAATGCCACTAACATTCTCTAACCATAATCCTTAGCAGCCTACATCCCTACTTATCACCTGAATCACAACACTTTCCATATGTGTTGTCAATACGCTCAACCAATTCGCTCCCTATTCGATGTAGTCCAGTCCTGTAGCATCGTCTTAGATTTGGTAGAAACAAATCGCATTGGAGATTGTTGCTCAACGTGTTCAGAAGACTGCGTTTTGTCGGCGCCTCCACGTCATGTTCTAAGTCAAGACTTCCCTGATAACAAGTTAATGTTTGAGTCACTGAGCATCTCAGGTAATGGTAAATATATAGTGAGGCCTCAGGTTTCTTCTTTTAGCATTCTAAATCGAGTCTCAGCTTATGCTTATAGGTGTCATTGCAATATAAGTGGTTTTAATAAACCTTGATTAATAAAATTAAGATGTAGTGTTCTCGGGATTTTTGCTGACTGATATCTTCAGCACCTTGCCTCAGTGTTTGTCGTACGATGTTATTTCCATGTATGATACATTGTAGTTTATTTGCGTTTTCAGGCATGGAATGGACAACAACAGCAAACCACTCGTGGAGCTTTTCTTGAAAGCAGCACCATCAGATCGTAAAGAGAAAGGAGCTTGCTTAATCAGTCAGCAGTGGTTTATGACCTTGTATTGTCTTGTCGAGAAAGGCCTTATAGATCTACGAGTAACACCAATGACAATGGATGCGGCGCCAGATAATTATCTCAATTTAAATGCTGCTCGACACCTTCCTATTGCATGGATTGAGTCAGGGATTTTAGATGGTGAAGACGCTACTGGACTCGTTATTTCTTCAACAGAGTCACTGGAAACACTGCTAATCAAGTTAGGATGTCCTAATTTAAATCCTCGTCTAGAAGCCTCTGCTGTCAGGGCAGCTGAAAAAGTTTTTGAAGATCTTTACTCAGGTTTAATGCAGTACATAAATAATGACAACAAAAAGCCACTATGTTCATCGCTGTCAAACTTAAATAATTATTTGGCATCAGCAGCAAGACCATATGCAATGGGTGAGGAAATATCTTATGTTGATTGTCAACTGGCACCAAAATTACAACACGTTCGTGTCGCTGGCCAAGCCTACAAGAAATTCGATATACCTCATGATATGAAACATGTGTGGACATACATTCAGCATATGTATAAACTGAAGGCATTCAACTGTTCTTGTCCAGCCACTCGGGATATTCTAATGCATTATGATGAGAAAAATCCACTTCCGAAAGAAATCCGCCCAAGTCTCATGGGGCCAGAAATCCTACTAGATATTCCTCGAGATCTGCAGTTGTCATCGATAAATGGAGATCACCACTGAACTGTTTAAAACGTTGTTACATTTATACTAGAAAAAGCAATAATTTCATATCCTATACTTTTTTCACATATTTTAACCCCGTGTTCATTTCGGTGTCCATTTTTTCCACCCATTGCAAATAAGTGGGATGCGCTACTTGGTTTTCTTTACTAATATTTATTTAGTTGATTAAAAACTTGTACTTTTCACACCTTTCAAAGTTATACAGTTCTTGTATATCCGCTTTGATATTCTCAGATACATTATCTATTAACACTAATATACTAGATATTAAGGACAAACGCCTTTCTTTTTCTATTTTCCTTTTGCAAGAATTTGGTTCAGAAATTGACTACACAGACGAAACAGTAGTGTAATTATTGTGTAAAGGTCTTCGACGTACTGACCTTCAGCGATCGATTTGGGTACGACTACTTATAGTGCGTTAAAGGCACTGAGAAAAATGTATAATTGCATAGGATAATTCTTGTTTAACAAGTCTAATTCGTCATAGTGTGTATTTAAGAGTTAAACTGAGTTCTTTGCGAAAATTCGACATGGTGACCTAGTCGTATCATAATATGTTTGATACTCTATCGATCAGTCGGATAAGTACTTCAAGATCACAGGCATTCGTTGATTCAGGATTTTATAGTTTAACTTTGCTTCTAGTTGTCTTTCAACGTGATGTTCATTTGTTTGTTTTTGAGATTACTTGTGTCCTGATGTATAGAAATCAGGAGCTACGTAATAAGTAATGAAACCATTTGTAGGTCTCCATCTTGTGCTTGAATGTTGTGTGTATCTTATGAGAGATCGTACTTCTGGGGATCAGTCCTATAGTATGTGTCACCGGGACATCAAATTCGACCCTGACTAACCAACCTCTTTGTGCGCGTCGGTGGCACAGTGGCTAGGACTTCCACCGACCATGGACATGGTCCGGGGTTCGATCGCCGGCCGAAGCACCCCTAATATCTATGGTCGGCCTGCAAAATTTGGGCTACCGATATCACATGCTGAAAATTCCATACTTGTACCAAAAAATACGGTGTAGAATCAAGCTATAATAAACAAGTGATTTCAATGTCATATAAAGCTGTTTATAAAGATCTGGTAGAAAATTATCCGGACTAGACAGTGAGGTTATCAGTCTGTCCTAGGGCATATTAGTTCCCATGATTCCTAAGTATGCTAAGGAATTTCAAGGTTTTCTAAAAAGGCTATCACTGAATCCGCCAAGCACTAACTTGAATAGAAATATCAACCTGGTGACTGGGACGCTTGGTTTGGCAGCAACAAACGGCAAAATAATTTTTTGGATTTGATTGAATTTCAGTGATATGTTTTGTATCTACCAACAACCCTAGTTGCGACATATAAACGCGTTGGATTTTATGTTGTTTCAGCTTGAGTTGGGGTCACTGAATAGATACTCGTGGGAAGCTAAGTGTATAACTAGCTGATGCTATTCCCCACCACATCATATGTTTGTTTATCTTTACAAGTTGAATTAGCCGATACTTTGTCAAGATGTTCGAGTTGCAATTTTCAACATATATTTTTTAGTTGCAGTTGCAACTGGAAACAATATGTTTGTGTAGTAGCAGAAAAACTGTGTCAGGCTAAAACAGGTTGGATAAATCGCGACTGTTAGAATAGATCGTGTGACTACACAAGACAATTGAGATAGCAGTCGATCGATGCAGCCAGTGAGAAATAAGTGAACAGGCATTTGCTGATTTATTTACAGAGCCAGATAACTCACTTTCAACTGACATACATGCGATTAAATTATTTTTACTTGTCTAATAATGAATAAATAAGGAGTAACCGCTAAGTTTTCATTACATGCTATGTTTAGAGGACTATAAAACATTGGCGCACTTCTTCGGTTTAGTTCAATAAATGGTGTTGTTATTTACCCCGTTACAGATTCAACCCATAGTTGTTAACGTGCCACAAGTATCCTAAATAAACTGCGCTTTGAAGTTTCTGTGGTGATTGGGTTGATTTTCCGGATTATGGTCGTCAGCTCCACTCACGACTGGCTAGTAGACGAGGTGGAATTTCTCGTGTCCCACTGAGAACCCAGGAGAGTAATAATAACTGCCAGATATTCTTGTTAGTTTCTCCACTTTTTGCTTCGGACAATCTATACACTATTGTGTTGAAGTTTCCAGAAAATACTTTTTTATACTTTGAAACACAATATTGCATTACTTGAACGTGTTATTCTTTGTGTGCTTGCATATTCATATTAACCTTTAACTAAAACTCAGAAAAGTAATCGATATGAAAAGAGAGTTAACTTATATCACAGCTACATTGTTCTTTTACAGTTCATCTGTTTTACACATCATAACCACGAATTTTTAGTTTAAACATTTTCTTATCAATAATCTTTCTATTTGAGTGTGTGTGTGTATCATCTTATCATGAATATTTGTCCATCATATATATGCATATATAGTCATGTGACTAGTGTCATGTTGTATGCACTTATTGAATGTACGCCTATTAGCATATTGACCAAGTTTTATCTGTACGTGTATACAACTAATTATGTGAGGATTGTTTTTGTTATTATTATTATTTTAGATTATCATTATTCACGATTAAGTCACGATCTATTAGTGTTTTCTAGATTTCTAAGGAATTGGAGTATTGACTTTGTACAGATTTGAGTTGTTATATGGTAAATTGCTAAATTTGATATGCGCTTCATATGCTGCTCACAATGGTGAACATGGGCATTGGTTCATTAACTTTAACAATTTATGTCACTAGGTGATTGGTGTCATGTGATTTGAATATTTATTGTGTAGTAGATTATTCCAGTCACAGATAACTTAGCCTGTATCAGTTTTTCTTAAAAAGTACACTTATTCTCTGATTCCATTTGTTATTTTATTTATGAATAAATTTTTTATATTTCTGAGTAAATTACTTGTTTTGATGCATATGGATTTATTGTGTAACATAAATTAGTCATGTGGTGAAAATATATAAACGAGAAAGCTAAGATTAGTGACACTGAAATTAGCAAACTGTCAAGTATCACTGACTTTTAAGGTGGGCGTTATGAGACGAAAATAGTGTATATTTTGTCTGTATCAACTGTTTACGCTGAGTATTTAGTGTTCTAGAAAACTCCAATTTATTACATGACTAATCAAAGACTAGTAGATATTCCAATCAAACTTACTTACATTATTATTATAATTATTCTCTTGGGCTTCAGCAGCACATCTCCATGTCACTCTGTTATCTGTAGTCTTTCTTAGTTGGCTTGATAGTTGCCATAAGCTTTCACCTCCTCCATTTTACCCTTGCATGCTCAACTCATCTTTTCCCATTTGGGTTCCACTTGAGGGCTTGGCAGCGATGTTACTCAACAGTCTCAAAGTTGATTGAAAATCCCCATTGAGTCATATGAAAAAGAGAAGACATTCAGCGAAGAGACTCTTTTCGGCGAATTCATTCACATAGCTGTACAATCGCATTTATATATAAATATTTGTGTGTGTGTGTGTGTGTGTGTACATGAAGTTTGTCAAGTTTAGATAATTGATTAGTTAATACAAGAATGATGTAGTATAGAGACAAAGTTAATCAGACAGCAACTAAAGTAAGATTGAGTTAAAAAACTAGATGACGTAATATAATTGGCTAAAATGTTACAACTTAGGTCAGGATAGCAACAGAGGTAATTACAGGTAGAGATTAAGTAGAAGTGAAATTCAGTGAATAAGTTGGATGATGTAACATGAATGACTAGAAACTGAGCGTTGTTCAAGTCAGTAACAGTGGTAGTTAGGTGTAGAAATTGAATCGGGTGAGGGTAGAGAACAAGAAAGTTGAAAATGTAAAGTGTTACAATTGAGAAGACAAAATAATACTAATGAAGAGACAGAAGAAAAGATTAGGTAGAATTTACATGTCGGCTAATAAGATAGATTACGTCCATTGCAAGTGTAGTGATTGAACGAACTTCTTCTGTATGCAGAGTTCAGGACTTAGCAAGTGAATCGCCATTGCTTCTGCAGTTTGAAGAAGTTTGATTCGTACACCTTTAGGGAGACTACTTCTTACTCTGTAGACGACTTTGAAGTTTGTTTGCGGTGTATCTTGGTGTCCGGATTCTATCAGATGTTCTAAGATGGAACTGCGGGGGCATCGATTTTCTCCTTTGTAAAACCATGTTGGTAAGTGCTCGGTGATGCGTTTGGAAAGCGAGCGCTGGGTACGGCCGACATACCTGGCTCCAAAGTTCCTTCGGTCCATGTGCATTTCCTTCACCATAATTGTTGGGCGATAGGTTTTTGTTTGATTCATTCTTAGAGTTCCTTGTTGATTGTCCTTCCTGACTGGCCACCTGATCTTCAGTATGGAGTGAGGGTAGCTGCTGACGAAAGCCTACAGTAAGCTGCGTGAAATGCTTTTAGTGATGATATGGAAACATTAACTGACTTGACACTGGTGTTGGACACCTGGGTCACGTTTCTTATGCTGAGTGCAGTAAATTTCCACATTCACTTTAGAGTAATAAAGGCCTATCTCACTTTACCGATCGTAGATGACTGACTTACTGACTGGTTTCAACGTAGAACAGATGTGCTGCGGAGGTAGGTGAGACAAGTGACTGCCTTTAGGTTTCTCCCATTGATAGGGATTGGTGCTTGTTATTTTTGGTTAGGTATCTTCATCACTTCCGTCATCGACGAAGTCGAGGTAGTGATTTGGACTTTCATTCTATGCTGTGTTCAGTGGTGATGCGTAGAGCTGCAATTTAATTTGCACGTGATTTGCTTTACTGAGCGGAGTTAAGCATCCAGTACATCTTTTAGTCTCAAGGATAATGTGACTTAATATTTTGCTTGTCATGGACAACAGCATGATCCCGCACCATTTATTGCTAAGGCCTAAGTCTCCCTTCTTTGGTAGTTTGACGAAGTAGCTGTTCATCCAGTCAGTAGGTACCTATCCTTTCCCTCAAGCTTCCTGTACTTCTGCCATTAGCGTATGTACTAAGGTGTTTGCATCCGTTTTCAATGCTTCCGAAGGAATCCCGTCAGGTCCTGTTGCCTATCCGTCTTTCATTAACTCTATGGCATTCAAAACTTCTGCTTTTTTTCAGATGATTGGTATTCATTGGCAGTTCTGTAAGTGTTGGTGGTATCTTTGGATGAGTTGCAGATGGTGGTCGGTTCAAGAGTCCTTTGGAGTAACCAGCCAGTTTTTTTTCTTTTGTTTTCCCTCTTTGGTAGTTACCTTCCCCTCAGTCTCTCTTCCTGGGTTC